TGCAGTAGAGAAGCAGATGGGATTGAAATCAAGAGCATATAAGGAGACATAAGCATAGTAGAATGAACATACTGTAACATGACAGCACCAGTATCAGACATAACTGGAAGAACTTAGCTGGCATTGGCAAAATATCAGTGAAAGAACATTAAGCCACCAATACAAATTTCACATGGAAACCAGTGAATGTAGTGGGATTCAATAAACCTGAGTTCAAATACCTGCTTGGCCATGGGGTGTGTGTGTCAATGATAACTCACTCATTGAATACTCCACATACCTCATCCAAGCACATAATGACAACTACAAACAGGACATGAAGGAGAATTAGATTTAACATCAGTTTAACTCATCCATAATCCTTATTTATATTTGTTTACTGGTGGATGGTTAAACTTTTTTCATTCTGCGTATCTTTTGACAGGTTTGATCTCCCCCTTCTTTTTAGACTATTCTTCTTTCTTGTAGTGTGGCATTCTAAAGTTATTTAAAATATTTAAAGCACAGGTTGCTATGCGGCCCTTTTTGTGAGTTAAAGGCAGGACATATAATCATAAAAACAAAAATAAATAAGTGATATTTGGACCAATATATGTGATACAGATTTGTTAATCACCTCTGATTTGATTGGTTTTTCTCTCCTACTCTCTGAACTTTCTAATAAAATACATGCATCCTAAAGCCCAAGGCAGAATGTTTAGACAGTCTGAACTATTTTCCCATTAGCTTTCGTGCATTTTCATTATTAATATTCATCCATGTCTAAAATGCATCCATTCATTTACTTTCATAGCAATTGTTCTGCTTAATGGATAGAAATGGCAGAAAAGCATAAAAGTAAATTCTGTCATTTAAAGACTTTAAACATGCGCTCATACAGTTCTGAGAATCCAGCACCAACTCAGGCTTTAATAAACATACTACTGTATACACTCATAGTTATTTAATTATTCAAAGAATACCATGAGGGGCTGTTAAATTACAATAAATGCTTTCTTAGAGTATGTCTACACCATATGAAGGCTTTGGAAGGGATGGATCAATATTTTATGAACTCTGAAGGGGAGCCAAATCTATTTCCAAGAGAGGGTTGTAATTTCTCCCCCATTTTGCAATGCAAAGAAACTGACAGAGATACCATCTACTAATTTGTTCTAGGATTAATGACTGCAAAAAGATGTATACCTACAGTTATTTCACTAAGCTATAGAATAGTGCCAAATGGAACCAGCCACAAATGTGGAGACTGAAACATGGTTCTATAAAACAATTAGCATCTTAATTTTCTTTCCTTGAAAAGTTCCATTCTTGATACTGCAGCATTCAATTTATCTTCCATTTTTGCATGTGGGGAAAGAGAAGCAGATAATAAACCATTGCTTTTTACAGATACCACCTAATGAGTACAAAGTTAAAAAATTCTACAAGATGTTCTTTGTGGGGTGTCAGATCCTTCCAAATGCTGGTGTAACTACAACAAAGCACTTAAGCACATATTCACAAATTCTCTCTGGAGAGTCAAGACTGACCCCATCCTCATATAGCAGTTCCACACAGAGGTGGCTTCTGGACTTAGATGAGGAGGGGGGCCCTGCCCCAGTCATAAGTTTTCTTCAGTTCTATTTATGCAGGAAGAAAGATTGATTAGGATTTTATAACTAGCAGAATACAAGTATCCTATAAATTAGTTGTGCATGTGCGGGACTTGGATAACTCTAATGTCAATTTTTTTTAAGGGGGTGGTTAGATGTCTAAGTGTATATGATAAATAATATTTTTTATGTAGAGCCACCAAATTGAGCCCTTATATATAGCTCATGCAGCAACAAATACCATATCATAAAGAAAACATGGAACAAAACCCCTTTTGTTCATGATACACATATCAACAATCACAGGACACTAACACACATTGCCTGCTCATGCATCTACTCTGCAGAAACTGCAAAATATAATTCATAAACGGCTAACAGTTTGAGTAAATATTCATTTTCAGATTGGCATCCTTCTAGGTCATATAAGTTGATAATATGAAACCAATATATTAAAGGCATGACAGTATTATTTTCATACAGCTGTTCAGCTGCCCTGAAGTTTCCTCTAAACATATATCAGTATAATATATTCCAGGCTGAATGTTAACTGTCATTTTCTAAATGTGCATTATATGAAGGGAATCATTTCCATTAAGTAAATGGCACTTAACACAGGCTTTTAAAAGTATTAATAATCCCAAGACTGACACATCTGGAAACATAACATTGATAGGAACAGAGAAATCATCTCTTCAGTGCCAAATATACAGAAGATTTCTGTGGTTCTATCAATTTAATGTCTTCAAAACTGCCAAACTGATTTTTAAATTACTTTTCAATTTTTACTTAACTTTAATATATATGATTGTTATGAATCCTCCTACATAGCTTAAAAGTGTAAAAGACTGCCATGTTTAAGTTTTCTCATGGATGTATTTATAAATGTGCTCAAATCTGTCTGCAAATTTAAAACCAAACACATACATAATTCAACTTGCTCCTCTGGAAAAAAGAAAAACATAACAAAAAGTTATGATATGAACAGTATGCCTGATTTCATTCAGCAATGCATCTGATTTTGAGTAATACAAATTCTGGAGTTTAAGAAGCAGTATATTTGTTGTTTTTATTTCTGAAGTAATATCAGGTGTTTGATTCATGCATACTCAAACAGAAACAACAGTTGAATTCAATTTATTGGGGCTGTTCAGTTATGAACGTCATTAACATCAATAGTCTGCAAGTATGTAATCAAGAGACCACCAGAGATGTCATTCTGGTAATCGCCAAAGAAAGGCTGCAGGACATTTTGCCACAGGGGAGTCTAATTTCCTTGCAAATGCCTTAGCAACCCATGGAAGTGAGTGGCATTTTCAAAATGGTACCAGGTCAGGTCCTCTGTTAGCGTTCAGAATCAACATTATGGGTAGGCTGAGAGCTGTTATCAAAACACACTCTACCTACCGTTTGTCTCTGTTAAACCCATGTACTTGTCGGTAGCATGTACAAAAATAATGTACTTTGCTTCCACAGAGTAAGAATGAAGAATACTGAGCATTGGTTGTTATTAGAAACTATGGTTACCTCACAAGCTTCAGGCAGTTCTTGTCTCCACAATAAAGGAACTCTCGGCAACTGTCTGGAGTGCCAAGATCTCAGAGGCATCTGCCTTGGCTAACTCTTAGAAACAGAGAGATAGAAGCTGCTTGCATTTTTAAATAAAGGAGCTGACAGAGGCATTTGGCAGCTTGAGGGCTGGATTAATTTTCCTCTGTTTGAAAATCCGTCTAATCACCTTCAGCTTCCCAAGATCTTTATTGCAAACACAATTGCAATAAAGAAGAGTAAGGACTGAAAGATGTGAAATATAAAAAAAGAATAACAAGAAAATACTAGGTGGCTCAATTGTGACTTATTTAACATGCTGCTATTGTGCTACTGATCTGCAAATACAGTACATAGTTTGTTTCCTGGAGGGGTGTGTGTAGTGGACTGATTTTAATTTATCTAGAGCAACAAACAAACTGGCAAATCTGATGCTATCATTCAACAGAAACCAGGTATTTTCACTTCTTTCATTCAGGATAGATCAGTCTGCTACCCTTTGTTTTCAGGGGAATTAAATGAAGGATATTAAGCATGGAGGGGAGGATCTATACATAAAAAACAGGCTTGCAAAATAATCTCAATTAAACAAACAGTTGCAACAACAGATGGTGAAGGAAAGTATACATAAGAAGCAAGGATACCCTTGAATATACAAGTAAAATTCTACAGAAATCTTCTAGTTTAATGCAAAATAGTTCTAGATTGGATTTTTTTTCCTGTCAGGGCAAATGTCACTTTGCCAAAGGAAATTCCCTCAGAAATCCAAAAGCACTATACATTCTAAATTGCAGTATTGTTTGAGGAACCATACTGCCTTGGAATTATAAGAGTTATAGTACAAAATGTTTGGAGGACGAAATATCTGAATATACTTTCGTCCTCCATTGTTCTCTTGAGACAGCCTTGCTACATGTTTAGCAAAGAACATCTTGAATACATGTTTGCTAATTTGCCAGACTCGGTCTAAAATTAAAGAAAACTGTATTGCTCTGTGCCTGAAAATACTGCCACCTCAGGCAAGGATCCCTGGTCACTGAAGGAAAATAAAAGAACTTGTGAGTTATGACAATAGGGCTGAGGAAAAAAACTGCTCTTAATATGATGTATTTCCAAAATGGATACTATGTCAGAGAAATGTTTATAGTGAAAAGAACAAATAGGCATGAAGGTCAGATTACAGATCACATGTATTAGAGTAATACAACTTTGAAATCTGCTGTGTAAGCTTTTCTTCTAAAATGTCCCTGCACATTTATTTATCATTGTGTAACTGCAGTCTAGAGTAGGGACTGGCAACCTATCATATATTCTTTAAGTGCTTGATTTGTTAGAATTTTCCTCAGGGGGAAAGAAAATATCAACCCCACCACCCCATGGATCAGCACAGACTAGAGGCCTTGTTTTCACCTCTTGTTTAGAATGTACTGGGGAGCAGGTTTTCCATTCACTAACCTGCCTTCTCATTCCTTTATCCTTCTGTATTAATACAGATATGACTTATTTTACCTCAGTGTTGCTAAGTGGTAGTAATGGCCAAAAATAGGGAAAAACAAACAAAAACAAAACCCAAAACCCCACACCCAACATCATAATAAATAAGTAAAAAATAAAGCTCAGCAGATGCCTGTCATGCACGCATGCACAGCAGCTCAAACAGTAGTCAACCCTTTCAACAGGATTCTTTCTCTGCATTGAAAACAGGATATACATCAATACATCTGTCTCATTTTCCTCTCCCTCCCCATTGAAAGGGTTACTGTGGTGCATGCTTATACAATGTCAGCACCCCCACCACCAAAATTCAAGCCTGCTTTCACACCACCCCATGCCTGTTGATGCTGACAGCTGATACAGTACCTGAGGTTGGAAGAACTTCAGAGGGTGCAGCGTCAAATACAGGGATAGGGGACATGGGGGGAAAAGGTAAAGAGAGAGAACACAGGAATATGTAAACCACAATACAAACACGATATACAGACATGGCAAGCTGAGGCTGCAACAAAGACGAGATGTATTAGCACTCAGTGTCCCACTGCTTTCTCCAAACAATCACTCTGTAATAGCCATTCAAAAGAAGATATTAGTGGTTTGGTTCCTCTGTCTTCATTTCTAGTGGCTGGCATTCTACACAGCCTGTGGCTTTCATTTTACAAAAATTTATATTGTTCATCTCATTGGCATCAGTATGAATCCTCTAAATGCCAGGACAAATTCTACTCTGATTCAACTTTATTGCAAGCACAGTATTGATTTCCAGACACTTATGATGGATGAAACAATATGCAATGCAAATAAGTGCAAGAATACAATATTTCACCCAGATTTCTTGGTTCAAATCATGTATGTGAGAAATGGAAGCTGTGGCTTGGATATAAATGGAAATAAATGCCTTTCTTACATCTATACAAGAAAAGAAAATTGCCAGCACTTGATTCAGTCAACTTTATTTTGTACAGTTCCAAATACTTAGCTGTGTATGATCACTGTCTAATGGATCTAAATGTTTTGCCCATGGAAGCTGTTCACCATTCATTAATAATATGAGTTATATGCACATCCATTTTTGTTTGAAGAGCCTGCAAAACCTCACTTGTGAGACTCCCCTGAGGGCCTGTTCCCTTGACCTATAACGCAACTGCAATATTTATGACATCCTGGCTGAATTCCAGTTGTGTTGCCACTCACACTGAATCAGTCATGTGTATACTGATTCTACAAACAGAAGTCAATTTGCTTCAGCAACACTTATAAAGCAAAACAGCAAGGACAGCGTACAAAATATTTTGCACTTGGTATTAGCATGCACATGGCCCTCTCTGCACAGGGTATCTAGAGCAAGAAGTCATTACAAATGAGAGAGAAGCCCCATGACTAGAATACTAGCAAGAGAGTTTTCAAGATGTCCACATTTCAGCACCTTAGTGATTCAAAAATCTCAAGGAAGCTCTGCTAATGTTGTAGGCCCTACACAGTTCTGGCCTACTGTAGCGTTTCAAGTAGTTCTTGTTATCTGAGAAAAACAAGTACATGAGTTTGGGAAGAAAAGGTAGGTGGGTTTGTTTTTTTTGCATATTGCTATTTTTTCAGATTGTTGCGTAACTATGCCTCCTTAACTAGAAGCTGCATAAGTGGTTGAGAAACTCGCACCAAGGCAGAAGTTGCATGAAGCAAGCAGTTCCCTAGGTGCGTTTGCACAACTAGTTATGCAATTAAGTGCGCAATTAATTCTGAAATCAGTTACTCAACTAGTTATGCAATCATGCAAACAGACTGCATAAGTGTCTGATTGCATGACACAAACTTCTTCAGATGATTTTACATTACACCAAGTACAATAGGATTTCAGCCTATATTTCTTTATTTGGTATTGCAAAATATATTATATTATGAGTGCTCACTGGAAGGACAGATCCTGAATCTAAGGCTCCAGTACTTTGGCCATCTCATGAGAAGAGAAGACTCCCTGGAAAAGACTCTGATGTTGGGAAAGTGTGAAGGCAAGAGGAGAACGGGATGACAGAGGATGAGATGGTTGGACAGTGTTATCGAGGCTACCAACATAGATTTGACCCAACTCTGGGAGGCAGTGGAAGACAGGAGGGCCTGGTGTGCTCTATTCAGGAGTCACAAAGAGTCGGACACAACTTAATGACTAAACAACAACAACAACATAATGTATATTGTTGATGCTCCAATTAAAAAACCAGGAGAGACCCAGGACTTCACACCATATAAGCAACATAATAGTTTCCTTAGTTTAGATGACAACAAGCTGTGGTTTGTTCTCATGAAAAGAAGTCATAGCAAACATGAGGCCTGCATGCAGTCTTCTTATCTGTACTGTATTACATATTCTGGGGAAAACAAGTACATAAGTTTGGGAAGAAAAAGCAGTTGGGTTCTGCTTCTAATTTGCAGCTTCCATAATTTGCCATTTCATTTGAAAGAGGGTAAGCTATGATTTATACACACACAATTTGCAATCAAACCAGTTTCCTGAATTTGCATGAAATTGTGCTTTGGAATCCCCATCTGACTGTAAACTGGGATTTGTACACATCACAGTTTATCCTGCTGGGGGGAGGGGGATGAGAAACCACTGTTTGTTTGCTGCAAACTGGAAGAAGCTTCTAATTTCCTACTTGAATGTAAAAGTGCCCAAAGAAGAGGAGAAAAGAGGAAAGAATGCATGAGTCCAAAGTCCAAGTGGTTCATTTGTGTGTGTGTGTTTTTAAATTGTGGTTTGTTGCCCCTAAATATAGTCATTGTATTTATAATCTAAAAAGTATTTCCTTCTCCATATACACATACAAGAAATATATATTTACAGTCATGTTTCATGACTTTTAGTTTGTTTAAAAATATTACAAAACTACAGCGTTGAACATCTAACAAATTCAAGACTCAAATTTCTTAAAAGAAAACCCCATCTTGAACACTTAAATCCTCCTTGCCCTGAAAAGTTTGCAAAATGTAATTTTTTTTTTTAAAAAAAATCCTAACTTAGTGCCACCAGATCCTCATGATACAGAAATGTCAGTTGCAATGCAATCCCTGACCCACTGCCACCAAAAATGTAAATCCTTCCTATAGGATGGGAAAAGACATAATGATAAATGTGATATCAAGGGCTAAAATATTCTGAGAGCTTGCCACTTAAAAGATAAATACAGTAAGTGATTTACTTTTAAAGCATGTATTCAAAGAAATGTTTTCTGCACACATAACAGTTTGGAAGTTAAATAAAATTAAATAAAGTTAGAGACTACTAAATTCAGGGATTTTCTGGAACAGCTACAGAATGTTAAGAGTTCAGAGTTACTGAACTTAGTTTGACAAATTCTTCTTCTTCTTCTTCTTCTTCTTCTTCTACTACTACTACTACTACTACTACTACTACTACTACTACTACTACTACAACTACTACAGTAGTGGGGTCTCTACTTAAGAACGTCTCTGTGTGTGTGTTTAGTCGTTTAGTCGTGTCCGACTCTTCGTGACCCCATGGACCAGAGCACGCCAGGCCCTCCTGTCTTCTACTGCCTCCCGGAGTTGTGTCAGGACTACTACTACTACTACTACTACTACTACTACTACTACTACTACTACTACTACTACTACTACTACTACTACTACTACTACTACTACTACTACTACTACTACTACCACTACCACTACTACTACTACTACTACTACAGTGGGGTCTCTACTTAAGAACGTCTCTACTTAAGAACAATCCAACTTAAGAACAGCTCCATTTGCTAAATTTTGCTTCTACTTGAGAACAGAAATCCAAGATAAGAACAGGAAAAAAAAAAACCTTTCCTGCTCTTTTTTTAACCTTAGGTCATCTTAGGTTAAAAAAAAATTCTCCCCCTAGTGGTAGAGAATTATTAACCAGCTTTGCATTAGTTCCTATGGGAACTAATGCTTCAATGTACGAACGCACCTCTACATAACAAAAAAACAGCCAGAACGGATTAATTGGTTTTCAGTCCATTCCTATGGGAAATTTTGCTTCAACTTAAGAATGTTTCAACTTAAGAACACCATTCCAAAACGGATTAAGTTCTTAAGTAGAGGTTCCACTGTAGTTTCTATGGACGGAAAAGAGCAGATACGGATTAAATGGTTTTCAATACATTCCTATGGGAAATGCAGATTCAACATAAGAACTTTTCAACTTGAGAACCACCTTCCAATACGGATTACGTTCTTAAGTAGAGACCCCACTGTACTACTACTAAACTTAAAACTGCAGAGTTGGAAGAGACTCTATGGATGAAGTCCAGTCCCTGTCAAGGAGGCCCAGTGGGGAATCGAGCTCCCAAATTTAAACTAGTGAGCTATCCAGCAAATCACAAGGACTATTTATCCCATCAACAATTTATAAGTTATGCATCTTTCACATTAGGATCATTTGCTGATTACAGAGGTGACATGAAGAGGTCATTGTCCACCCCTAGTTTTTGCCTATAGTTAGCAGATTATGAAGGATAGTGGATGCTTCCACTTTATAATTCTCCTACTAACAAATATGTAAACATGTTTGGAAATTGTGATCACAGAGATGATCTTCAGGGAAGCTGAATTCCTTCATAGGACAGTGCACTATAAAGGAAAATATAATTAATAACAGAAGTATTCAAATCTATATTTTTTTCCTTCAAACATATGCACTGATTACTTTTGACATCAAAGCATGTTCCTACATGCACTGAAGAACTGACTCTCATATTTATGGAGGTCTCACACCGTGGAACAATCCTAATATTAACACTGAAAACAAATAAACACAGTGGCACACCAGCATCAATATTTTATCACAACTCACAAAGAAGAAAAACGTGATCAAAACTACTAATAATCTTAAGTCAGAATTCAAGATCCCAAATTCTGTCTCAGGCAATATTTGCAATTTAGTTACTGTCCAAGCACTATGTGTGGTCCAGGCCCCTGAGTATATAAGAGATTCTCTGAGTGTAGTCATTCTTATGGGCCTGCAGGTTTTTATATATTTAATATTCCTATGTTAGGACTGAACTATGGCCTACATTAGATGATTTGCAGTCCAACTAGAGAGGCCATTAGATACCCTTCAGTGGAATGATATGCTTCTAAATATCAACATTGTCCATGGTTTTGAGACTATATTAAACTAAAAGAAAAGAAAAGCATCTTGGATACACACTGGATAGTTCTACCAAATAAACATACTGGGAAATATCAAATGCTGGAGAAGTTGCCATAGTGAAGCCACCCTAATTTTGCATGCCATAATCCTGTCCAATTATCTCTTCCTTTTGGCAGGAAGTAATGAAAGATACCAATTTTGTGCTAGATACAAGAGTGGATTTCTCTGCTTATAATTTCCTGTTGGAATATTTACCTGTGAAATGGTACGTTAAAAAGGCATGCAGACTTTGGCTTCTATGGGCAGCTACTGTGACCAAACTATTGTCTTAATATAGCTGAAACTCCCCTATCATGTCACAGACAGAACAATGGACAGCAAATCTCTTGGGCTTGGCATTAAAGAAAAAAACAGATGAGAGTCCAGCAAAAAATATCTGAGTATTTGCTCTACATTCTTGGGACTATCTGAAGTTAACTTAGCTCTGTAAAGGAATATGAAAGTTTTTGTTCAGAGTTTGATTTATTTGTTTTAGTAAATCTATATGTGTGACAGAAGTATATGCTGTAACGTCAATTCCATTTATTTATTTATTCATTTATTTATTTATTTATTTATTTATTTATTTAAAGTGTTTTTACCCCGCCTTTCTCCTTAATGTGAAGGGAAGAGTGATAATGGAAAGGGAGGTGTGGGTGAGTTTGGAATAAAGGTTGTTTCAGGTAAAGGAAAGCAAAGTATAAGCTCATACGGTATCTACTGAAACCACTTCTCAATAGTCAATACTTAGACATTTACAATTTTCTGTTACAGGACACCTCCAATTCTAAATTGGAATATTTTGGGCACAGAAACTGAAATTGCAATTGTATGTATTTATTTTATATTGTTCTGGTCTTGCTGGTCCTTGACCATAATATAGTTATTCTATCCTATCCTTACTCTTAATATAAAAGAATCAAGAATCAGTTTGTAAATTATTGTACAAATTCTCCTCTGTTATGATCTTGACATTCCTACAATATTTTACCATAAAAGGATATATGTACTATACATGGAATGGTATGACATTGTGCAGTTTTTCCTTTTTTAACATTTCTAAATTTAAAAAAAAACTTTTTTGTTTTTGTTTTGCTTCTGTCATGCCATGTGTACTGTAAGATTAACAAATCAACATATCATCCAGATAGCATCTTAACACATTTTACTCTAATACTTGAGATACAGGCTGAAGAGAGATGCTCAGAAATCCCTGTGTCTGAGGTTCTCAAGAAAGGGCTCCTTCCTACAACTAGTGCTACATGTTCCCAATTACTACTATGAATTATTACTATAAACAATGAACTAGGTAAAAAAAATTAATGAACAGGAGATAGACAGTCTTAATTAGGGTGGCTGGTCCACTGTTTGAAGGGCTGTTAAAAACGATTCCTCACTGCAAACATGCCCTCTGAACACAAATACAGATTACCTGATCACAGTCTGCCTCAAAAAAATAACATTCATTCATTCATTCATTCATTCATTCATTCATTCATTCATTCATTCATTCATTCATTCATTCATTTACTGCCTTCTCCCCATTGGTACCGAAGGCAGCTCACAATGTTTATACAATCAACAGCTTAAAAACACCATATAAATACCGTATTAAAAAAACAATTTAACATATATCAAGATCAAAACCAGGATTAAAATATTTCAAAACATTTTTTAAAAACATTTTAAAACTCTAAGGATGCAACCAGGTGAGGAATTTGGAGCAATCAGCGTAGTGTTTGAAAGATTCTTATCTTTAATGCAATCTATTTTATCTTGTACTTGTGCAATCTTTCCATTCACATGGGATATGCTTATTCTCTTATGAGAGGGATCCAGATAGGACTTCAGAACGCGCCTATTTCTCTTCCTTTCAGCTACTGATATCCCTGTCCCTGCCCCTTTCCCTGCCTTTTGTTGCAGCTGACACTCTGCAGGCCACAGCAACCTCCCTTTAAAAATGTTAATTTACTTAGTAGCATAGCACTATACCAATACATCACCCTAGCATGGATACACCCTAATATCTGACATAGTATTGCATCACTCAGGAGAATATTAAAACTTTTTTTGAGTGGAGGAAAATAGAGGAAAGGATCATTCTTTCTACAGGATACACTACACGGTTGTCACTGAAAAGAATGCCACCCATAACTCTATTTGGGAGCAAAGTATGCAATCACAAAGATTGCAGAATGGATAATCAGGAGTGCTCCCAATTGTATCAAATAAACTGCGGTCCTAGTGCTGTGCCAGAAAGGAGTGGAACAACTTGCAGCAGGGGTGGCGTAGATCATTCTTGCTTAAAACACACATGGTTGCCAGAAAACAGAGTGAACCAAGCGGCACCAAAAGCAAAACAAATAGCGAGCTACAGGCTTGTCAGATCACCCCTTTTGTTCAAAAACAGTATTCAGGAGACACTTATATGTCAGCTAATTCTGAGAGTCCCACCTGTGTCCCAAAGGACATAGTCTTCACTGAGCGCAGGGGAAGCTACAGCCTAGGAAGAAATTCCTCTGTAATTTGTACTGGTATTATAATTCCTACTGTGTGGAACAGCAATAACCAGGTTTCGTTGAAGCTGCTTTCCACTTAAGCTGTACTCTCATCCTGAGAGGAATCTAGGTGGCCTTCCATGAGCTCCCTGTTTACTTGTTTAGTGCAAATTTGATGGAACATAATCTTCAAAACACATAATCATGGGGAAGGAGGACAAAATAAGATTTTACATTTACTCCACACAAAGAAAATTTGTCCTATAACATAACTGGAAAAACAATTTCTGTCAAATCATTATGCATAGACATCAGTACAGCTCAAAACAATTCTTAGGAAAAAGACATTTCCAGACTCAAATTATATGACTGTCTGTTTCCCTGAAATGCACAGAACATTCAAGATACTTCTGAACCCATTTTCTGCAATGTGCCCATTATTTTAAAAATGTTAAGGTTAACTACATCATCCTTCAGTACTAAATTTGACACCAATAGAATATGGTGGAAATGTTGGTATGTGGGAAATCACTGCTATTTTAAAATTTGGAAATAAATGAAAACAAATTTATTTAACTCTATTTAGAACATACAATGAACAACAAAGGTTATTAAAATCAATGTAACTGCACTGATTTGCACTTGTAAAAGCTTATTTAAAGCTTAAAGAAAAGCTGATTATGGCATATAATTGGCCGATTTTGAATAAAAGTTGCCTGTGGAATTTTTCAGCAGCTTTTCTTCTGAAACACAAAGGTTTTACATGTACTTCACACAAAGAAAATTTGTCTTATTACATAACTCAAAAAAATAATTCATGCCAAATCATTATATAAAGGAGAAGTAGTGGAAAATCATTTGAAATCTTTATGAATAGCATCTTGAATTTTTTGAGAACAGAGAGTAGCTATAGTCCAGGGACAGCCTAATAACTATGGTGTCATAATTAACTCCACTGTGAGCTTTTCAACCAGTTGTACATCATAATTTATATAAAGCAGAAATGCAATAGCTATGCCCGATATGGGTGTTCTACATCTCATAAATGAATAGTATGTGCAGTGGGATTGTGACAACTGGCTGAACCCACATGGTCATGCCCCCTCCCTTCTTGCTGCCCACATATTTGAGGGTAAGTCTGAAGAGGAGAGAATGCTCTACAAAAACAGGGTTTCTTCCCATTAGATTCCTGCATGGTCAGGGTCTTCTGTCATGGGAGAAGCCAATGGAGAAACGGGATCTTCAGACTTTCTTCCAAGATACTGATAGTTTAGCAGAGAAAGTGATGGTAAAAGTGCAGCCAACAAGTAGAACTCTACTCTCATGCTCTGTGTGACACTGAGTGACTTAGAATTTTCAAATAAGGCTCTGGGCTGTTTCACAAGTAGTTTCCATAAGCCATAATCAGACAATGGCTTTGGTGGGGTGGGGGGAGAGAAAAAGAAAGCATGGCTAGAAATGATTCTCACTTAAATCACAACACAATCTCACAAGTTAAAGCTTATTTTTGTATTTAGCTATGAGTAGACTTCAAAATACTCTGAGCATGGCTTTCATCTCTACTTGTATATAGCACATCTCTCTTCCCAAAGTCATATAGGTGTCTCATTTTACCTACCTTCATTCAATGGAATGGGTGACTCCCCTGTGGCAGGCTCACCTTCACCAATTTGTGTCCTGCTACGCAGGTTGAATCTGTAGCGTGATATAGGGTCCGTCCTCTGGAGCAAAAACTTTGTCTGATTAGGAGAGAAGTTCTCTACCATTGTTCTGCCACTTTTGGATCCGTTAACTGGAGAAAGAGGCAGGCTGTGTAGGCTTCAGTCTTGTTTGAGAAACATGATAAGCTACACATTTAGGCACCTCTCATTCTACAATAGCACCTGACGGAAACACTTGGCTTTGATTCATGTTTTAAGGGGTATTTAAAAAAATCAGCTAGGGAATGCTGGAAAGTTGAGATAGAAGATCTATTCTACCAAAATTTTTTAAACTCCCATGCATTCGAGGGTAGCACACCAGGTCTGCCCCATAGGAGCTGTTAGGCAAGGGTTAGGGTGGGGACTATTTGGCTCTCTAGGTGTTTGTAGACTATAATTCTCTTAAACCCTTACACCACCATAAACAAACAAACAAACAAATAAATTAGTTAGTTAGTTGATGGAATCTTGTTTTTCTTAGTGCAACATAAAGTTACCATGGTGTACATTTGCCAGGCATTATATCCTTGTAACCAGGATGGCGTAGCATGACTGCACAATAGTTGTGCGGTTCCCATTGCACAGTGTGCTTGCAGAAGTGCTTTATGAATAGCACTTCCATTTTAGCACAATTAGAGCTATCTGTTGCATAACATCAGATTACATGAGCACAGCTGTTCACTTTCAGTCATTAAGTTTTAAAGTTACTTCCTGTTGCCTATATTCTTGGAATTATCTTCTTATATAAGCAACACTGAATTTAACAGCTGGAAAGTTCCAGTTTTTTTTTAAAAAACCAGTGCCACACTTATTTGGCAATGTACCTGCCACTGACTCCCATCCTCCTGGTTATTAAAGAAACAAAATAATCAAAGAAAAGAAAAACAAGTGTGGGACATACAGGCTTGGTATCTAAGGGTGTATCCAATAAGAATGCCATTAGGGTGTTCAGGGTGTTCCCATTCCAAAGTGATGATTTCCAGGCTTGGCTGGCGTATTCTGAAATACCTTGGAGCACTGGGTACTTAGTGAAGATGAATTCAGGAGAGAAAAGGGAAGAGGAAAAAACATTTAAGGTAATATAATGAAAACTGCAGATTGGTCAAAATAGCATGGTCACAGAAAAGTGGGATATTGGTCCCATGGAGAGCCTGTAAGGAGCTATTTACACATAGTCAGAAACAGACATCTATGCCATTGCTTCATACTTTGTCATTCAAATGTAAATTGAACGGATTAATTCACAAGTGTGTGTGGCGCTGCCCTCTAGTGGTATATAAGCTCATACAAGTTTTTCTATTGCTAAATAGTTTTTGTTGAATTTTTAAATCACAATTCTTACATCCTGCTGAGATGTCCTACTGGGTAAACGAATGACATCACACCTGCACTTTAACATGACACACGAATGATTTATTTCTTTTCATTATAAGCTAAATGTCCCTCATCCACCATAACTATTTATTCCAGTTTACATGCTGTGATGACATCTCTATTAAGCCAACCCAAAAGGCACAAAATTCCCTCGCAGGTTTTCAAGGCATCTTATGGCCAACACATTTTTTTCCCTGCATAATCTATGTTTTCTGGGCTCTAAACATGAGTATCTATTAGAACAGGAATTATAATATTCAGCTTTTAGCATCATAACTCATAGTTAATTCATTACATGTGGAATGCAACCAACATTAAGCCTTTTTATAATGGTCCATTAATTTCATTGCTGGAGTTAGCATGAATAATTCCTAGCTGTGAGGAAGTGACATGTATGTTTCTAGCAGTCAGGGATGGGGAGAGAAAGCCTTTCCAGCAGGCCACTCAATCAGCATCCTATAAGTAGATAATTGAAGAGTGATCTCATGAATGACCTTATTGGGGCAGATGTCACTTTTCATTCAACTCCCTGGACCAGTGGTCCCCAACCTTGGGCCTCCAAATGTTCTTGGACTTCAGCTCCCAGAAATCCAGGCCAGCAGAGGTGGTGATGAAGGCTTCTGGGAGTTGAAGTCCAAGAACATCTGGAGGCCCAAGGTTGGGGACCACTGCCCTGGACAATCATTTGACAGCTCTAGTCTCTTCTTTAAATGTTGCATACCTTTGGTAAGCTGCTGCTAAACTTACATACACAGTTAACACTCTCCTACTGAAAGCAATGGGATTTAAAACTAAATAGCAAGTGCCACTAGGGTGTTGGGGCATGAAAAAAAAAGGGAAGAATTAATATTAAATTGCCATCCTATTGGGTGGATGTTAAACACATGGATCACTTTTTGAAGTACATACTGGATATATTTTGAGAGATTCTGAAATCACTTCCCTAACCCATCTATGTGCTGAGTGAAGAGTCTGATAATGCCTTTCCCCAGTTGTATGTCACACAAGGCAAAAGTGCCCCAAATGCTAAGGACAATGTATAAGAGTCCTAGAAGAACAGGAAAGAACACCATGGCTTCCAAGAATCTAGTTACTCAAGAATATACCATTTCTAGTTCAGATATTCATTATAAATGAATCTTCCACTATCACAATCGGGTTTCATTTGAAGTAAGTTGTTCATCTAGGTCCTTATGATATGGTAACATTTCCCTCACAAATATCATCCTCTCATATAATATACTGTAACCCCGATTGGGGAAAGGTAACTATGTGAGCTTCATTATAGGTTCAATGTGGACATTACCTAGTTCTTGGAAGTGGATAATTAGGTATATCCATGACAGAGATGGGCACAAAGTATGCTGAGCCATCCTAAGTCATCAGCATGGCACCACAGGCGCCACAGGTTCCCTGGCCCCATCTAACCCTGCCAGCACCCCCATTCTCCAGCCAGCACACACTACTCATTCCCTCCCCATTGTGTGCTCTTCCAGTCCCAGAAGGAGCACAAACATCCCTTCTCTGCCTCCTCCAGCAGCAGCCCACTGAGACAAGGACGCACCACATGGATTCCTGCAGTGCTGCCTATGAGTGGGTAGCTGCTGGAGGAGGCAGAGAAGGGAAGTCCGTGCTCCTGTCAGGATGAGAAGATTGCATGCCAGGGAGGGAATGAGCAGAGCATGCTGGTTGCTGATGGGGTGCCGGTGAGGAAGCAGGGAATGTCTGGCACCTGTGGTGCTCTGCTGATGATTTAGGATGACCCAGCATGACATGCTTCATGCCCATCTCTAATCCATGATGTTTTAGACTGTCTTTCCAAGTGCTTAACATTATCTGTGAAACATCTGGAGAATGAAATTATCCAAATATTGTGTTATTGTGTAGTGATCCGAAAACATGATTATTTCTTCCAGTTCTTTTCATCAGAATTAATTAGGTTTTATAAAAAACCCCACACCTTTCCAATATGAACCTGCTCAGAAGTTTATACTTAAACTGTTATACTACACACTCTTCCAAGTCAGCCTTCCCCAACCTTTCCCCAATATACGAAAATGGGGAAGATGGGAGCTGCTGCCGAATACATCCAGAGAGGAATACAGTGGGGAAGGCTCTTACGATTCAGTTCAAGCTTCTGTCTGATACATAGAAATTCCAGAATTTGACTCAAAGGCCATACTTAATTCTATATACTTATGAAAAACAAAACCTGGAGAAAAATTGAGGGTTCCCGTCTACCCATGTCACACAACAGCATTTCCTACTTCCACAATCCTCCTTCAGAGAACTTTGCGTGTGAGCCAAGGGTTACCAATGGGAGGAGAATGGGTGGATTTTCACTGGACACTTTTAGATTTCACCGTAGATTTCACTTCTCAAAAGATAAAATGAGAAGGAATTCTTTGCAAAAAATACTATAAAGATAACAGTATCTATGACTTTAGTAATACCTAAAATAGTAACATCTGGTAAGTACCAACACATTGTCCATCAAAATTATGTAACATGGCATTGCCAATTACACGAAGTAATCAGAAATGCTATCAATCCAGCTGTGAAAGCAAGTATAGGCAATATTCTCAATTTTACAATAAATTCCACTCTTAAGCATGTTAAGAACCAGATTTTTTTTTTGCATGATGATGCTCATCATTAACCTCATTTTGAGAAGACAGAATAAAGGCAGAAGGATTTGTCTAGAGAATAGAATAAAATGCAAGACTAGGATTAGAAATAAGATGGTATCATATGTCATTGCATCATGCTTTGACTTTCTGACACATTTTTGGATATTTCCGCCTGTGTTCAATTCATCTTTTTTTTCTGTTTAATATAACTATGAACCTGCAGCTGGGAAAAAATATTCTAGATGCCACAGTGACATTAAATGGAATTGCTTATTCCAGTCTTCAAGGTTGGAAGAGGGAACATGTAGCCTTCCATATATTGGACTAAATCTTCTTCATCCCTCACCATAGGGTATGCTTGTTAGAGCTAAAGAAAACTGTAGTAAAACATATGGAAGGCCACATGTTCTCCATCTATGCCGTAGCAATTTACTTGGCTGACCTTGATGATGTTCCAAACAGTACAGAATGGGAGAAAACAGGGTGGATATTCCCATCTTTACATATTAGGACAGTCGTTACGATGAATACTTCGTAAAAGCTGATTTTAAAATATCTTTATCAGGACTGATGATTTACACTACCTCATTCAGGCTTGTGGAATCTCCTATCTGTGCTTTTATCAGAATCCCAAGATCTGCCAAATGAATCCAGATGCACAAGACACCTGGGCTAAAGTTCAGCAACATGCAAAAGATCCTAGATTCCATCTTTGGTGCATCTAGGTTGGGTTGATAAACACTTCCATCTAAAACTGCATTACTGTAGATAATATTGCCAGCTAGCATTAACAGTACTTAGTTTAGTCAATTGTGTAATGTGTTTTAAAGATAGCTGCCTCTGTTCCTGATCAAGGACTAGAGAAATTAGGAGGATGTGATCAGCTCAGGAACTTGTGTTATCAGCAGAACACAAAATTTCTTCATATACCCCGGTTTCTCATAGCCTTTCTTCAAATTAACATTTTCTTGTTATTGCTATTGTTAAACAACTGATAGCCAAGTATCCTTGCTGATCTGCTGCCACTCTCCCACAGATATACTAGACGACTGCTTACCAATTATTTATTTATTTACTCCATTTATTAATTACCTTCTGCCCACTTCCTGCTATACAGAACCTGGAAAGATTAAGTCTCTCAGAATTTCTCCTCACCCTGTTTTGTAAATAAAAGGATACAATTTTGCAAAACTAGGCAAACATGATGGAAGAACCTACCTCCTTCAGGTGTTGTGAACTCCAAAGTTTCACTTCGAGGCCCATCTCCTCTCCCGTTGACTACAACCATTTCCAATTTGTAGTTGCTGTAAGGAAACAGCCGGGACACTATGCCCCGTGTCCGGTCTCCAATAAAACCCATAGACTGCTTTTTCTTAGAAACCCATAGAGTCTTCAGCAAACTACTTTCTCTCCAGTAATAAGCCTTTAAGAAACATGTAAGGCAGGTGAACCTTTTCCTATTTGGGTGTTATTGGATTTCAAGAACAAAATCATCACACATTTGCTTTTTCATGGAAAGATTAGTACAAGGTCACCAGCCATTATATATGGGAAGAGAATATCAATATTGTTATTGTCCATTTTAAGGGAAACTGAAAAATAGGGAAAATTACTAGGTTGGTCAAAATGAAGCAGGTAAGTTAGACTCCGGACCAACAAATAACCCTCTCCCTAGACACCAGTTTTCTGGGCTTACCTATACTTTCCCCACCTCTCATTGAGAGCAATGAAAAATTAATTTATCCACCTCACTTTGACCAGAAATAGTCCACTAATAATGGAGATATATTTAGACCTGGTTAAAAAAAACACAGACAAACTTGAAGCAAAAAAATAAAAATAAAATAAAAATAAAAGAAGAAGAAGAAGAACCCTATCAAGAAAAGTTCCCAAATAACAGAAATGTGTAGATTTTTTTGTTAAAGTATCAAGATGTTATGGAAGCAATATCGATATCTGGCAGAGCGCATTCTCCCACCCAGTTCTGCCAGAGTCACCCATTCCAATTAGGCTGGGCAGCTGAGGGGCCTAACACCGAGGGAGGTCTGGAAGGAAAGAGCGAGGAACTGGAGCTTCTCGACAGTGGCCCCTCGCCTTTGGAACAACTTGTCAGTAGAAATCCGCCTGACTCCCTCTCTGGGTGTTTTCATAAAACTTAAAACCTGGTTACTTGGGCAGGCTTTCCCTCCTGTCATATTTTAATTTCCTAATCATTTTGCCATCTTGGATTTATAATATATACTTATTGGTTTTAAATTTGTAAACCGCCCAGAGTAGACCTTTGGTCTAGATGGGTGGCACAGAAATCTAATAAACAAACAAACAAGCAAGTAAACATTTTGCCACTGGTTTGGGTGACTGAATGTTTTCGGTTTGGTAAAAGGGAAGGCAGAGAAGAAGAGGAAGGGTTATCTTAGCAACAGAATACATATGGTTTGGGGGAGGGGTGTACATCCTTTAGTTCTTGCAGTTAGCACAATGTTTAATTTCTGATTAGCTGAAAACAGACAACTTGTGTGGAGGTGTGCTTCCAGTCAAAGAGGTCTTAGTGTATCACAGCTGGTTAAAAGATACTGAGCAGCTATTTTCTCCTTAATGGAGCTTCTGTGGAAAAACAAATGGAAGGTATAGTGGGAAAATACGGGAATGCTCTAAATATTACCTGGGCCTATAGTAAAATTCTGTGAATCAGCTTTGGCTATTTTGTAATAAAAACCTCAGCTGGAAGCATCTTTGGTTAATAAGACATGCCAAATACACACTGGGGATGACTATCTGAGAAGATGTTTTTCTACCACAGTGAAAATAAAATTTGTGGTCTTCACATTGATAAAAGGAATCTTGTTTGTTTCCTATTGTTAGGAGGACATCATAAGATAGCAAATATCCAGAAATGCCCCTTTGTAACTGAGGGTGTGATCACACAGGAAACTAGAAGACATTTTTGACCACTTGTGGAGCAGTCTGGTTCAATCCATTTCCTGGTGATCATAAAATATACAGGGAATTGCACTTGAGCCTGGCCCTGATCTATGCCCATGCTGGACCTTTTCTGGTCCAGCTGTAGGGCTACCACTTTCAGGGGCTGGACTGGAATGAATCTCTGACAAACAGAAGGGCTGCTTTGAGCAGGATCGCTCCCTGCAAAGCAACCTTTTCCAGTGAGATTAGAATGTCTCTTTCCCGCTGTCTGATTGCTCCCACACTGAGCTATAACTAGATAGTTGTAACTAGGCAGGCATAGGCCATGCAACATGTATTCTCTTTAGATATTCTGAAGGTGAATGAGTGACTGTCTTGTGCTTTCAAGATCAGCCTTTTCATCTTACAGAAAGCGCATTTATTTAAAAAGTAGCATTCTACCCGGAGGGAGAAACTAAGCACTGAAAGAATAAGCTTTGGCTTTTGTTCTTGTTTTGTTTTGCAAAAACAAAACAGAGCGCCTTTGAGACAAAGACATTTTGTGCTTTCAACTGAAAACTGAATGTAAACTCACCAGTCTGAATCAGCGAGAAACTTTTAAAACATGGGAGACAAGATCAAAACATGTTTCCATTCTAAATACTAGATTCAGACTGGTTTCCCCACTGAAGAAGATCAGTGGTAGTGCTGGTCTCAGTGTCAGGATTATCTCATCCCCATAAGGAAAGAAAACTTCAGCACTCATCTGAAAGCAGTCTATGACCATGGAATTTTTAGAGGAAGCAACTCTCATCTTAAAACGGTGGATGTTTCAGTATAGGGGCTCATTGTTTACTTAACCCTAGCAGGACTAAAACATATATTATGGGAATGAGGTTTTAGGGTTCTTGTACCTAAGAAATGATGGCATATATATAGACCTGGTATTTATCACTTCCATATGTGTATTTCCTTATATGACAATTTCTTGGTCTCACATGTCATCCCCAGTGTACAAAAGACATATGACCAATCATCATTAGTATCAGGGGTTAGCCATATTAACAATTGAACTGGTCTTGTTTGGGCTCACTCTGTATTCCTTAAGCTGTCCCTGGATGGTTTCCGGGTACACTCTACTCCATTGTAGACTGACTGCTGTGCTGTTTACAACTTTGAGTCTAAGATCAGTAGGAGCAGCCTTAGGATCTAAGTTGTCAGGAAGAGAGGAAAGCAGACATTAAGCACAGTTCCACCCCCCCCAAAGTTTACAGCATTTACTCTAAAGCAAATAAGGCCCCCAAAAAATCATGCCTTAAAACTGTCAGCAGTTTCAACACTACTACACACAGAAATATATCTGCTGCCATCTTGTGGAAGGAGAAAGTTATTTCACATTAATGTTTTGTAATAAGCCTTTGTATATGATAGAAAATCGCTCACATGGTTTTCATTGTCTTCATTTACTATTTTTTTTTCCTGCCTGCCCACAGTTATTATCTCACAGTTAATACAACAGACAGCAAGAAACAACCAAGTTGTGGAGACTTCTTAGAACTCTCCCATGACTGATGGAAAAATGCCTGCTTAAAACCGCATACACACACACTCCTCATAACACATATGATCAGCAAGCTTCAATCTTCATCTTAACAGCTCTCTTTCAGAAACAGATCTAATATTTAAAGAGTAAATACTCTCACATATCCTTCACAGTCTCTCTCATCATACAACATTTGATAACCCCTTTGTTTGACTCTTGGTGTTTGGAACAAGAGGCATAATAGTTCCTTTACCTTTCAAATAGCCCCATTTCCAATTACGAAGAAAAATGTTTGCAAGTAAGAGATATAATATGGTTACAGAGCTCTAGTAAGACATTACATTTTTAAAGGGCTGGGACAACCCTCCCCCCCCCTAATTTTATAGATTGATTTGGCAGAATCTCTCTCCCCGCCCCCTGCCGTCTCATTCCTAATTAAGGCAGTAAATGTATAAGGAGAGGCAGAACTTTGATAAGGTTTTGCTGAAGTGGTTTCTCGGGACTGAGCTACGTCTCATATAATATGAATTACAAGGAAATATCATGCTTATTTTAAATCTTGTGCTAGGAAAGCCATGTCAAATTCTTTGCTTGTTTAGACAAAGTTATTCTATTCAGCCAACTAGTACTTTAAATATAATTACTTTATTTCACAAGCCACACTTGTGCCATGTTTTTCAGGTCTGCAAAAATGTGTATAGCTGGGTGGCTGTAAAAATCTTTTTTTTAAAAAATGCATATATGTATTTCCTGGGGACCCGTTATGACTATTAGCACCACGTAGTGTAGGGCAACCTACGGAAGTGTTCTTATAGTTCTTTCATCTAGGGATGAATAAATATTGCAATAAGTTGACTTGGGAATTGAGGCAACATAATACCAAGATAAATAACAAAACATACATTCTATAAAGGAACACAATACAACTTCACATGAAAAGTACGTATTTGTGCATACATTAACTTTCAGTAAACAGTCATGTTTTATTTTTAAAAACTCAACCAACCAACCGACACAGGAACCACAACTGTATTTTTTCCTACACAAACTGCTATGTAAGTGACTGGGAAATGAGGAAACACTGAACCTATTTGTTCTTTTGAACAGACACGAGGAGACACAACACTTTGCCAAAACTGTGTAATACTTTCTTGCATGCTCTGGAAATGTTTCAGTAGTGACTGATCCGCTGACTGCATTTTCTGCTCCAACCGGTGCCTCCCAAAGAAGCCATCAATTATACATGTGTAAACACAAATGTAATTTTATCAATAATTGTATTAATTCATCCATTGCCTTCATTGCTTTTTCACCTTAACAACTAAGGATATCCAGACGTTCTGAAAGGAGTTAATCCAGCATGTGAGGAAGGGAGTGTCCTAGCCTGTACTTTTCCATTGTCATTTTGTCATATGCAATGCTATGGTTGTTAAATGGAGAGCTTCTTCTATATACGGAGCATTTCCATACGAGCAAGAATATGGAGTTTTCAGAGATCTGGCTCAGATAGAGACCATAGACACATAAGAGGGGTTCTCTTCATCAGAACTGCTGCTAGTTACATGAACAAAGCAATGCGAGAGCGGAGCAGGCTTTCTTTCCTACATTTTGGTTTCAATCTATTTGAATGCTTTAAAAATGACCTTTCTGTGACACGTGCATGACTCCCCCCCATAACATCCAGATAACACTGCAGGAGCTAAAATCAAGCAGCAACACACTGTTTGCCGGCTCTTGTGTGACAACTGGCCAAGCAATGCAAATTTGGAGTTCGAGGTCACGCCACAATTTTACCCCTTGAGCCTGCTGGCTTTCTTCAATTTATGGCTACCACAAATATTAGTAGTCAAGTGTTTTTACACTGACTATAGAAATTATATAGGCTGTGTATAATGATGCTGTTGTGGTTTATTTAATGTTATAATTACAATCATATGATATCTAATAACAGCTCCTATTCCCTCTCCCCAACTGCACACCTCTAACGTACTAATGTTCATCATCACAGAATCATTTGATTTAAATCTGGATCATCAGTATTTTTATGAGCACAATGAAATAATGAATTCTTTATCAACATCTTAGAAGATTATTAAATGGAAAAAAAAGATGAAATGGAAATGAATGAAGGCCAAGAAAGATCAGTTTCCATTTAAAGACAGAGGCTATGATTTAACCAGAGTTAAGCATTCATGATGCACTAAGAATTGGAAAGATGTGAGGACATGCTTTATTTTCTCTTCAGGTTGCACTTGGGTATTCTTAGAAGGGAAAGGGCTAAGAGCATTGGGAAGCAGTTGTTGGAAGCAGCTATTAATACACACACAAACACACACGGGGTCCATGCAGAGAACAGACACTTATCTTTAGATAACAAAAAAGAATAAATGTTTTGATAATCTGTGCCTGAATGGGCAATTTGAACCCAAATATCTGCAAACTAAGTTCAACATACTAGTCATTAAATTGTGGTGCTGATCCTCTGAACCTTTAGATATGTTCGTACTGCTATTCCTTACTATTGGCCATATTGGCTAGGACTGCAGGAAGCTGGTGTCCAATAAAAGCTGGCAGACCACAGATTCTATACAGATTTGCACCATGTTCTTTCTTCTATTCTACATCCTTTTCTGACAGTTTGCATTTATGAAATGGAATAGGAAAAAAATAGTGTAATATACAGGTGCAGAATCTATGGCATTCCAGCTGTTATTGGACATTAGCTTCCACCTGTTCTCACAGGTAGCTCACAGGATGTCTTTCAATCACAGCTCTGTATCCATGATAGAAAGGATAGCTCTATCTGACCTCAAAATGCTCACTTTGTAGAGCAAATCTATTATCTGCTATTCTGCTTCTTGATTTTTTTCCAAAAAAATTTAAATCAACATTGGTATCAATTTTTTTTTTTTAGGATTTACATATTCCGGGTGTCTTTCATGTGTTTTCATCATTATCAGCATTTTTAAATGGAAAATTATGACATAAATGTATAATTTATGGAATAATGTAAACACATTAAATGGAAATATATATTTGCAAAAAGAATGAGTTAATTGGAAGTTTATGAACATGGATGCTACAGGTCTGTCAAAAGAGAAGGGCACCTCAGATGCTTCTGAAAATTTTACATGAATCCTTTCTTGTTGGCTCTTCAGAATAAGAAGACTGCCCAATTCTGAAATCTGGTGCTCTTCTTTAAGAGACCTTGGATTGCAAAAGTGCCCTTTAACACTGACAGCTGAGAATAGGTTAACAAAATTTGCTACATGCACTTCAAATGTTCTTTGGTGATAAGAATACTCACAATCTTCCCCTGAGTAGCCAATGATGGTTTCAGGTTCTGAAGCAGCCCCATAGTCATTGATGGCTTGCACTCTGATCTCATAGGGTGTATAGATGGGCGTTGGTGTGACAACATACTGGCTGACATCGCCTTTTACTGTTCGGTTGCTCCAGCTCTCTCGTGTATCCCTTCTCCTCCATTTCACGATGTATCTGAGGTTGGGGCCATAAACCTGGGTTGCATTTAGTGGCTTAAAGTACACCAAAAAGAAACAAAATAAGACATTTAGAAATGTTATAATTGCTGATGTTGAACATCGGCAGCAAATCCCATCTTCCCTATGTCCTGCATAGTTATCTGTGACTCTGGCAGATTCAGGAACACAAAAAGAACTAAAAACATAGGGGGTAAGAAGCACAAATTTCCATATACTAAGCTAGCTTAGTCGAATGCAGAAAGAATCTCTCTCCCCCCATTGTGTGTGTGTGTGTGTGTGTGTGTGTGTGTGTGTGAGTGAGAGAGAGAGAGAGAGAGAGAGAGAGAGAGGGAGACAGAGAGAGAGAGAATATCAATCAACTATACACAAACACTATATTGAATGCACATTCAAAGAGGAAGGGGTTTCTAAATAGAATTGTTTACAGTAAGAATCTCATAGTCCACACAGACCCAAATGTACACAAAAGAAAAACAGAATAAATTCAATCACATACTTATTGCTATGTAATACGTATGTTTAGGTTTCATGGCTTAAACAATGACTAATAATGTGTTGGTTTCTTTGTAGGGACTGGCTATATACTTCAGTGTGTGAGGTACCTGGCTACAAAGCTAGAAGCTGGGGATTTAATTCCCCACTGTACTTCCCTAGGACTGGCTATATACTTCAGTGTGTGAGGTGCCTGCCCACAAACCTAGAAGCTGGAGATTTAATTCCCCACTGCATTTCCCTAGAGAAAAGCCAGCCTGTGTAGCATTGGGCAAGCTGTACAATGTCGGAAGAAGGGGACAATAAAACACTTCTGAGTGCTTTACTGTATATCTAGAAGGCCCCGAACAGGGTAATCATAGCTCAGAGTCAACTTGACAGCATCTTGTTTTTGTTGTGGTTATTAGTATTATTATTCACTTTGGCATGACTAACCTATTACTGAACAAAGCAGATTAAAGCTGTGACTACACAGTGAGGGAAATGTGAATTAACTCACTTTCTCTCTCTGAAAAATAGCATTGGGGAATTCAATTCTCTCTAATATAAGTCGCCAAAGAAGCAGAGGATAAAAAAATCCTTCTACTTGCAGTTCTATTTGAAATACTTGTAGGTGGTACAGTTCAAAGGAACTTTCTTAAGAAGGCTTTCCTTCCAATCACTTTTGTATGGTATTTTGCCAGCAAGAGAGTTCTTAAGCTGTTAAAAACATAAATAAATCAATAAAGAGGACTTTGAGGGGGGAGAGAGCTGTTTAAACAAAAAAGAAATGGCAGTTTAGGGGAGCAGAGGTTTTGCAAAGAGAGGTGAATACTGGCACTGCTTGTGTGAGTGTGTGCATGTATGCACACACTTTCTTTCTCCCTTTTTGCCCCCTCACTCCCTGCTCTCTTTCTCCTAGCTGACACTCCTCCTTTCACTCTTTCCCCCTCCTTCACTATAGACAAGCCATTCCCCCTTTTGTGTAGGAAAAAAACCTTTTGAATCCTTCTGGCAAGAAAAAAGGAGCCTCTAACCAAAAGAGAAAAAAGCCAGTTTGCAAGCAAAAATGACTGGAAAGATTCAATTTACCTTTGTATTATATGGACAAGAAAAATTAATCTGAATTTACCTGTTTTATAAATGAAGCAAATCCTGCAGTATTTGATGGTGTATTGGACTCTAAATTGTCAATACAGTTTATATAAATTGCTTCTGAAACCAAATATCTCAATTTCCCTATTTGCTATTTCAGGTTGAAGAATCTTTAAGAAAACTGGACACTTTCCTTTGACATGACATCTTGACAAGGTGTTCTAAAGTGTATTCCAGATTACAGTAAGAAATTTGAATTTTCTTTTGTGTCATTATTTCTTTGTAATGTATTATAATAATTATAATGCAACTTGTCTTGGAGTAGAAACCACTTGCTCTGGAAGGAATGTGTTTAACAACCATTCCCATGTTAACTCACCATCCACGATATGACCATATTATTTTTGGCTGTTCCAGCCCCTTTTACTCCTGTAGGGTTAAATTCTGGACCTGAAATAAAATGTTAATTCAATTTACAATATTTAAAGTATTTATTTTAAAAACACTGAATACTAGGATAATGCTATCTTCTAGCTGTTATAATACTATGCTATACTGCTAAAGGATCATCCTAATTTTTTATAGATAGGAAAGCCGGGGCAAAAATAGTGTTCAATTTGGAAAGTCCACAAATGTTGTCTTAGGAACAGAAACAAGGAATCAGAAACCATAACAAGTGAACTAAACTTTGCATACTACCCCTTTAAAACAGTTATACTACTGATACTGTAAGAATGATTTGCAAAGCAAGCCCTGCAAATTACTATTAATAGTATTACAACATTGAGCAGATTGAAAAAAAGAACAATATAAGATGGTATATAGACTTGCAAATTAAAAATATTTGCACAGTGTTTCAAGTGTACAAATAGAAGCATGTTATGTCTCATGGCTGATGACTGTAAACAGAAACAAAACGTGGGTAACAAATATATCATGTGTGTTCAGTCATCACTTTTACATACATGGTGTCTCTTTTTCATCGGACTCTTCACATATGTTCTGTCACCAGGTACTTTTATGCAAGTATGCTTTTCATTCCACAGCCATTTATGCAACTCAAGTTAGACAGGACTTACGTGCTCCATTCGTATGGTATCGTTCGGAAGGCAAGCTGGGATAACTGCTTCCTACTTCATTCACAGCTATTACTCTGAATTGATAGTTGACATATGGTGCAAGGCGCAAAACAGCAGAATTCACACTTCCTGGGTAACGAGAATGGTTGTGCCAAGTTCCCGGTTGAAATCTGTCCTCTTCAAATTCCACAATGTAATCTGGAATGGAAGAGATTGGAGTTCACAAATTAATTACGCAATTACTCTGGTCTACAGCCAAAGCGCTTCTGAAATAAATGTAGTCAAACTTTACTAATTCTGGGTTACTGAAATTCTGGGTGGTGTGATGGTCAGGCATCAATACAGTATCAGAGAGGGCACCCATGGTCCCCCCCCCAGCCTGTACCCCTCATCAAGTGAGCAGATTTGCCGCCGCCAGCCCTGAAATTTGGAATTTTGCACTCCCTAAGAATTCTGCACCCAGAACAACCGTCCCTGTGCCCCTGCAATGCCACTGCTAGGAGTTGTAAGCACAAGAGTATATACTGACCTGTGATAGGGCTGTTGTTATCATCACCAGGAATCCACGTCAGTCGTACACTCCTTTCAGCAAGGTCCGTTAGTTCAAGGTCACGAGGACGTTCAGGCCGTGCTATGGGTGAAAAAAAGCAAAGCAAAGTGTGGGCTTCTCTTGTAAAGACTTGATTGTTTTTATACTCTAATGATTAATATCTTTAGACTGCAAATAACAGTGAAGCTTATATTAGACATGTAGGAAATTACATAAAAGGCATAATTATTCTATTAAAAATACAAAATCTTAGGTTTGTACATGAAAAATTGTGAACATATCCTATATTAAACAGAATGCTGTGAATTGTTGCTCCCCTGATATCTGACCATATGTATCTTAGCTTTTGCCACCTGAGAAGCAAGAATAATCTGTTTTGTACTAAACAAAACATTTTGTAATGAATGAAATAATGGCTAAAGTCTTGTTATACAGCTCCATGTACACAGTGGGACTGACATCATGGTCAATAGTAGGTTGCTGCTGATTAAACTCTTCCTTTTTTTAAATTTTGAGGTCCACATGGCTCACATGGAGTGAGAAAGTCATGCATATTCTGAACTTGAAAAATAAATTTTATCATCAGTGGCAATCGAACACTACTAAGGATGCAATTCCCGTTGAGCAGGTGGATCCTGTCTTACAGGATTTCTGCTGAAGTATATTATTTGGACAGAAATCATCTCAGACTCCCTAAGCATTCATTCATTCATTCATTCATTCATTCATTCTATTTATATCCTGCCTATCTGGTCGATATGACCACTCTATTTAAATGTAAGGACTACTTCACCCATTATGTTTTTTTCTCCAAACTGTTGATCTAAATCCTTCTTGGTTACTTATTTGCAGAAATAATGAACACTCTGTAAACCAGGTAGTCTTATATATGATCAGGAGAAGTTCCTGTAACTCGTGTTGGAGACTACTTGCCCAAAGTAACTGCCCAGGTCATTCATTTTGTTTGATTTCATCTGAGGGCAACAAAACTGAGAGGAGAATGTATCGGGCAAACAAACTGTAGGACTAGCCTACATTTTTCAGTTAAATAGCAGCCATGAAAGCTACCATATTTGGCATCAACATTTAACAACAGAACAATATTCTGCCTTTTCTCAAGTTCTAAGGAAACACCCATTTTTAGCAATAAATGAACAATATATTTTAGTCCTTTCAATTTTACAAGCAAGAAAGCATAACAGTAGTGAAATCCTGCAAAAATGAAAGAGAACATGAGGAACTTCTTCCACTGGTTTTAACACCAAACCAATGGATTCATATAAAGTGCCTACTATAAGTGTTCTTTTCTAAGTAGCATGGAACAAAGTGTGAAAGGCAATTCAAGATTGTGTGCCACTGATGTGGGCTATCACTAATGATCAGGGCTATTCCTTGCGATGTATATGCCAACCAAAGTTATCAGTTTTCCATTAGCACTTTAGTTGAATGTCAGTTATTGCAATTGTCAAGCAACGAAGAGCAGAAAGAGGTAAAGAGGATTAGTAGTGATTACCTTTGGGTAGGGTCATACGGTTAACAGAAGAAGGAGCTGCAAAGTAAGATATTAGCTATTTAGAGAGTTAGCTCAATCTTTACAAGTAACTTGTTCATGGGACATATCAAGCACCTCAATTACCTGGATTTAAGTAAGCAAAGAGTAAAGAATTTCTCAAGAACCAAATTCAATTCAGAGGAATTTTCAAGGGCTATATAATAGTGGCCCAGGTAAAACAGAGCCAAAAATAGTGGCCCAGGTAAAACAGTAGAGCCAAAAATGACAATATAGTTTACCTTGAAGATCTTACTGCCAAGAACTAAACTCCAGGAGAGGAATTTCAACATCTCAGAATGGGGAAAACTTGTACAAAAGCTGTGAAACCACCAAACAAATGTGTCACGAGGAAGAGAGCATGGCCATCTAGAACAGCCAGAACAGAACCCAGGGGGAGGTCTACTGCCAAACTATATTTCTAAACATATTCTAGTTGTATTTAATGACCCTTTAATCCTAGTTTTCAGACAAGACTAAAACATAGATGATATTGTGTCAGCTCTTTGGGAGTTAGAATATAGACCCAGTTAACATTTGGGGAAACTCAGCTGTCCTTGCTCCTTCTAAATTAAGCAAAGGCCACTGACCTCCCCCCTGGTCAGTAGCAACAAAACCAATCTGATACTTCTCCTTCCTAGTTGGATACACTGGAATCACAGCAATATAACAGTAGATTTGCTGCCAAAAAAAGAAAATCTTTATCAGGGGGAGACCCTTCTAAATAATTGTTGCATGTTTGTTTCTGGAGTGAGGCAATTTCTACAGTAGTAGTGTAGTCACAAAATTAGAAATGCAGGGTCCTTTTATGAAACCTGCCCTCTCTCTCTCACACACACACACATTTTTCATGCATGTGCCCTCTTTCTAAAGGCCCCACTATCATCTTCTTGCATGGCTTGTGAAACATATACACATGATGAGTTGCCGGGGGGTGCGGGGGGGAAGCAAAATTTTCCAAGAAGCCTGATGAGAGAGTTTTAGATTGGTTCCTTTTCTAGGTTTCAGCTGACACCTTTGTACCCTTGAACAAATGAAGACTGGAGTGCAAAAAAATCAAGCAGGACCCAAACAATCCTAATCAGTCAAGCAAGGAGGCAAGTGAGAGGGTGAGCTGGCAATCCCTGCCTTCGATGGAGCATGAGGCCTATCAAGATTCCTGTCCCATTCAAATGGTGATTTGAGGGATGTACATCCCCATTAGATACAAAAGAAGGGTGGTTTTGAAGGAGTGGCCAGTCTGGCAGGTACCTGAGGGGAGGAGATGACAGACAATAAGGAGGGAACACACAGGGCCCAGGCGGCAGGAGTGGGGCCAGCACTTTGACTTCATGTGAGGTGACAGGACTATACCATTGGGTATTAGTTATAACTAGCAAACAAATATATGTGTCTTCAAAGGCCATGACCAATTTGGCACCAATGGCTGGCTTTTCACACTTTTTATATACAGTATTAGAGTAGTCACTGAAATTATTTTGGTTGACTGGACAGCAGCTAAAGACCATTAACAGGAACATTAAACTGGACAGCTTAGAATGTTAATAGTTTAATGTCTATTGTATGAGGCATTTTCTGTGTCACCTCCTAGAGACAGAATATAACATTTATTTAAACAAGCAAACAATTTTCTTTAAACCTTTGCTCAAACTCAGTAAATGAAAAAGTAAGATGAATTTACCTAGAACAGTGAGATGGGCTCTCGCAGTATCTTTGTCTAGCTCAGTGCTGGCAACACAGGTGTAATATCCTTGATCTTTTTCAGACACTCCATATATCGTCAGGCCATCTTCTTCTTTCTTCATCCTTTCAGAAGTGAAACATTAGAAATAGTGCAACAGCAACCCACAGTGCATTTTACATCATTAGTTTCTAAAACTTAGAAATGTATCATAAAATTAAGAAAAATAGCCAAAACCCAAGGAAACATGTTCTTATCTGTTAGTCTCAGTAATGTGAATCAGATTAGTTTGCTTAAAATCTGGAACAAATGGAACCTCCAAGTTATCCCTAGTCTCCACAGCATGGACTGTCAGACTAGAATAGTATTTGCACATGTCGCCTTTTTTGTAGCCTTCAGAATATACTTTAGAAATCAACATGTTAGACTATCTCTCTTATCCATACCCACAGCTCTTTCTTCTTGTAGAAAGCTGTACACAATCTACTCCTCTGTGCAATAGTGCCTAGAATACTAGGATAGAAATACATGAAAGCTGATTTAGCATCAGAATCCAGCATCCCTAATGTATGTTCGATGATGTAGGAAGTTTATTTAAACTTCATAAACAAAAGTCACTTTCCTTTCATCAAGGAGGAATCCATTTGAACAGGGAAAAGGGGACTGATGCATTAGCAGAATTACTGTTAAAAATGAAAAATTCTACAGTTACTGAAATTCAGCTTCAAAATATATCATAGTGGTTTGGACAGTAAAAATATAATTTCTTCATTTAACCATTGAGATAAAATTTTAAATCATGTTTTAAATCAAGACTCAAACAAATTCTTCAAACACATTTTATAAAATACATTATTTTTTCACAATAGTTTCCAAAGCCGCCATGTTAGCTGTCTCAACAAAAGAAACATTTAAAAAGGCAAAATATCGTAGGACTTTAAAAGCTAAGAGTTTTCAGTATACACTTTTGTGAATCCAAACCCACGTCTTCAGACAGAGTAGTGCAAATACATGCCCTCTGTATTTATTTTGGGGTGATGAGATTCAAGTGGTGTTCCCCTGAGGAACGGAAAGAAGCGTTATAGCACAAAACTTGCTGCTAGAGTGTTCAATCAATTGGTGTAGTAAACTGCTTCTGAAGGAAATCCTGCGCAACATGGTGTTGACAAAGGGCTACCCAGCCTGACAGCAACTGAAGTGTGTTCTAACCATGACAGGAAGCATATCCCAAAAGGTTCAGGTAGCCAGCTCAAGACTGACTCAGCCTTCCATCCTTCCAAGGTCAGTAAAATGGGTAACCAGCTCACTGGGGGGAAGCTGTTGTTTCATAATTATGTTGCAAACTGGCCAGAGAGTGCTCTAGCATTATGAGGTGATATATAAGTCAAAACAACAACAACAACCATAACAGCAACAACGTCTGTTGATGTGGATTTTCCGAATGCACCACCTGAGTGAGAGTTTCACCTGCTCAAGAAGAAGAACTTCTATGTTCTGTTGCAGAGTTTTGAATTTCTGATAAAATTCCTTTTTTGCTGCACAGCAGCAGTACAATGACCTACAAATGATAATAGCTACAGGTTCCCCTTGCTCATTAACTGGCACATCATGTACCCTCCCAAAGTCACCAAAGCAGCTGGCTCTTGGGAACGTTACCTCCTTATCCTGTCCAATACTGCTCAATCTGATTGGCAGCACTTTTCAAATTCCCATTACCTGTTCCTTTTAGCTATAGATGTCAGGGACAAGGCCTGGTGCCTTTTGTATGTAAAGCATGTATTGTGCCACTGAGCAAAGGCCTGCTCCTCTTATCCAGGAGCAGACCTTTGCTATTCCTTTTTAAACTGCATAAAGGAGGCCAGCTAACAGACATCAGATACTTCAGCGAGCACAGGCTGCCAAGACAGCAAAATGTTATTTATATTCTTTGATTAATACAGAAATGGAAGAGAAATGTAAGGTAGTGATGTATGAAAATAAAAACGCAGACCTGCTTCCTAAGTACAGGGGCACATCATCCTTGAGCCATGACACTGTAAGCCTCAATGTAGGGTCATATCTGATCCGGCATACTAAATGAATTGTGGAACCTTTCTTTGGCACAGCATCTTTTGGCCCATCTATAATCCTCGTTGGATCTGCAAAGAGTTATAGAATAGTTAAAATCCAAAGGGATCATTGTGGGGACTATGTAATCCTGGCCAGCTCTTTGATCAAAAGTTTAGTTAAAGAATAATGTAACTTTATACAACCAAATGTAAGTAGTCCTATGTTAGATTTTGTAAATCCTATGTCATATTCCAGAATCCCTTCAGCTTTTTATCTTTAACTTAATCCAACACTTACCATTTCATTCTGGATAAAGATGAATCTCATGGTTGTTCTATTCACCAACAATGCCTACTGTTAATACACACTGGGATATCTGAGAGCTGTGATTCTGTACTATGTATCCATTGAACAAATGGTTTATGTAAGAATAGCAGTCTTGCCACAAATTCATGGTGCGAGAACACAACAGGTTTTGCTAGGTTCAAGAAGTATTTCAAGCCACAACAATGTATTTCTCCAATGTCGTCAACATATATTTCCTTACAATTCCTTCAATGCTCAAAAAATCTTCTTCAGGAACATTAATAAGGTAGGGAAAATCATCATAATCTTAGACTTGTACAGTTGGAAGGGTTCCTATGGGTCATCGAGTCTAGCTTTGTCAAGGAGGCACAGTGGGGAAATGAGCTCCCAACATCTGGCTCCACACCCAGATACCTAAACCACTGAGCTATCCAGCAGTTCTATAGAAAATATGTCTCAGTTTAGCTCCCTTTCCCCACTTCTCTCTCATCTGCTCAGTACATCTGGGTTCTGGGGAGAGGCAGGGGAGAACAACACAGCTGTCCTTGCAGGCACAGCTGTGGGGATGGCTGAGCTAAAGATAAAAGGTGAACTAGAAGACTCAGAGAAGGAGAATGCAAAGGGCTAGCCAGCTTTTTTCTGTCTGAGGGAAAAGAAATATGTGCTGATGCACCCCAAGGAGAGCTGATGGTGTCACCTGAAGAAGTTGCCGGGGTAAGACACAACAGGATGCAGCTCCAAGAGCCAATGCATCTGGAAAGCGAAACAGGTGCCGAGTGCTGCTGGAGAAAATACAGACAAACAGCTGGCCCCCCACTCCTCCCTGGTTCTCCAGCCAGCCCACTCAGCCTGATCTCTGCCTCCACATCCTTCCATCTCATGCAGCAATTTCTGTCTGAACAACGGTTGTGATACTCAGGAGGGGATGTGCATCCTTGTTCCCTCTGGCAGAGCCCAAGGACTAGGGGGTGTGGCTGTAGAAAGGCAGAGTGCCTCCTGATTGCAAAGTCTCCGGTGGTTTTCCTTAAGAGACCTCCCATTTATTTATTTATTTGTTTGTTTGTTTGTTTGTTTGTTTGTTTGTTTGTTTGATATATACACCGGCCATCTAGCACGTATCTACTCTGAGTGGTCTCCAAACCTCATAAGCCGTACTTAGGAGGTTTGGAGAATGAAGCAACTCCCTGGTGCCAATAAAACTGTATTGACTGATTGAACTAGTATTTATTTATTTATTTATTTATTTATTCATTCATTCATTCATTCATTCATTCATTCATTCACCGGCCATCTAGTACGTATCTACTCTGAGTGGTCTCCAAATCTCATAAGCCGTACTTAGGAGGTTTGGAGAATGAAGCAACTCCCTGGTGCCAATAAAACTGTATTGACTGATTGAACTAGGGTTGTGGCTCCTTGCAGGAGGTGGACCTTGTTTTGGGCTTGTCTGTTACTGGCCTAGAAGGACCTGCATCTGCAAGGACTTCTTATGTTCCTGGATCAGCAGAGACTGGGTCTGACAAGAACTGTGTTGTGCCTGGCCTGGAGGGGCCTAGTCCTGCTAAGGATTTTTCAGTTATCAAACCAGAAGGTCCAGGGTCTGCAAAGGACAATATAGGGGCCTGAGTCTGTCAAAGCCTATTTCAGTTCAGGGTCAAGTCAGACCAGATTCTGTAAAAGAGTTTCAGTGCAAGTTGTTTTCTCCCTTTAATAAAGCTCCTTCTTCTGCAAAGACTCACCCTTGTACCTCATGGCGGGGACGGCAGGGGCAGCTCACACTCTCCTGCGCATGTTCCCCAACCTCTCTTATTATTTTTAATGCCACAACTTTCAAAGTTGATTACCATGACTAGCTTCTTCACAGGAAATTCTCCACTAATTAAAATATACTTGCTCTTACATTAAACAGAAAGCTTCTTACCTTTAATTTCCAAACGAACCTGGTTCTGTGCTTTGCCCAAAAGATTGGTGGCTACACAGGTGTAAGTTCCCTGGTCTTCTTTTCGAGCCCTGATGATTTCCAAAGTCCCATTCTCATGTGCCTTATAGTTCCCACCATGCAGCGTGCTTCCTTGGCCATTCTTAAACCTCACAGAAACACAAGGAAGTATTTATAAGACAGAAAAGCAAAATAAGGCATAGGAAGCTGGGAGAGATGTCCTAAGTTTTAAAAGAACTTCATTAGAAATTTTCACTGATTAAATCAACTACACATCTTATTGTCTCTTTTCTTCAACTGGCACACAAAGCATGCCGGCTAACTGGCAATGTAATCATTCTGAATTTTTTAAAAATCGAAATCAATTTCCATCCAAATATTTTATGATTAATTTATAATTGCAAATTCCTATGTGTGTATACTCAGAAGAAAGTGCAGAGTTCCATTTGACTTACTCCAGCAAAGTATATACAGTACAGGACTGCAGCCTAAACTCCTTATATTCTTGTCAACTGCAATAGCATAATCTATTGTCACTGAATTATCTCTTAAATGTGTGCTAGATAAGAGAATAATCCAGTCAGTTATCCCTTGCTCAGCTCTACACCAGATTTGATTTGCAACCTGTATTATATTTTAAATCAAAGGCATTGCTCACACAGGGCTGTGGATTGATTTGGCAGCTCACTGGATGTAATGCAGTTTGTATTCTATCCTACAGCACCCCCTTCGTTCCTTCCTTCCTCTAGTCCAACTCTATTGATCTTTCCTTCCTCTGGTCCTGCCTCTGTTGATCCTTATATGGAGCATAATAATAGGAAATAATAATAACAATGACCAAGTGTTAAGTTGATTTAGAGTTAATCTTGTATGTGTAAGTTTTTTTAAAAAATCAAAGGATGATCAGGGGACAGGAAAGAAGATGGGTTATGTTCCCCTGATCTTGAACATCATATCCCAACTAAACACCACCTACGGACACCCTCATCTTTATAGGAACATATCACAACTAACCAAATAGGGAAAAGCTGCTTTGGAAGCCAATGACTGATTCTTATCACTTTTTGCATCATGTAGTCAGTAAAAAATACTTTAAAATTCACTCATTTTATAAATGGAAAAAATCCTGTAGTATTTGACCATGTAGTCTCAGCCCTTAAGAAGTCATCTGACTGTAGCTAAGATTTATAGGAAATTTCTACCTAGAAATAGTTCTTATTTTTGCTTATTAATGTCACTGACTAGATGTATATTTAACCCACCCACCTAATCATTTATGCACCTGATGAAATTATTTCAGGCTTCAGTGAAATTTCACATTCAGCATATGACTGAATACGATCAATAATTATTTGAAATATCATGATCTGCAAACATTCCCACTATACCTGAAATCTGCCATTTCCTTCCATATATCCTATCATTTAAACAATTTGGCTGATAAATCCTCTGAAGCATCTCAAATTTTAACTGCCAGAGTGTTTATAATAGTATTCTATAATACCTATAGAAATGATATAGCTTGAATTGATGTTGAAACTCATTTTCAATCGTTTTACTAGATATTTTCCAACCACTATAGAAATGATATAGCTTGAATTGATGTGGAAACTCATTTCCAACCGCCTTTCCCCAGTTACTATAAAGTAATTCCTCACTGGGCTTTCTAAACCTAGTAAGTGTTTGACAACAAAGCATGGACAGAGGAAAAATTCCTTCATTTGTAATTTTTTCCTCACTGGGCTTTCTAAACCTAGTAAGCATGGACAGAGGAAAAATTCTTCATTTGTAATTTAAAAAAAATAAGACTTTTAATTGCTTACCCCATTTTTTTTGAAAGTGGTTACACATCTGAAACTGTTAAGGATGACTTCCTTGTAATTTCTCTCCCTCCCTCCCCACACATACCATCACTCTTGCATTCTTTGTTTCACCAGATCATGAACTATTTCCGAGGTGATACAAGATGCAAATAGTTAAACAAAAAAGAGGGCAGTACTAACATTGTTGGCCTTAATTCATCTTACCTATCCCATTCAATACTGCCATATAGTAAGGATTCAAAACTTTTAAAAGCATATTTGTTTTTGTGAAATTGCAGAAAATATTTCAAGGGAATCTCAATCACCAGCTAGGGATTTCACTGGGGGTGAGAGCCATGCTAAAATCGAGCTTAACTGGTGAAGCAGCATAATAAATGACAATATTTGGAACCAATAAACCACCTTTGTCACTGGTCTTCTGTAGAATATTTGATATGAAATCACATTAATATTTGAGATTTTGGAACACTTCCCCCCCAAATAAACCCTGTTCATATTCCCATTTTGCAAATACATATTACTTATAGTAATATTGAGACATTTTTAAAAAGAGTAGCATCTTGGGTAACACACTGGATTAGATCCAGATGTTAGAGAAGACACACTAAAATCAATGGGGCTTAAAACAGTTATAAATGAAGTTATTGATCCATAATTTTAATGTGTCTATTCTAGATGTTGCTGTTTAGAACAATTATCCTCCCATTTAAAGGAATATTCATTTAAACCCAACTTCAATGGCTTTTGTTTTTTCTATTAATGGTGAGTCAAGTGATTTCGGAAGCTCTGAATCAGAAAGGATGCTGGAACAATAGTTAAATTCACTTACCATCGTAATGTGGGAATTGGGGAACCAAAGAATGGACATTTCAGGAGAGTTCGGTTGTTCAGAATCACTTTGATCAGCTGGTTACGAGGGGCAAGAATCCGAGGAATAACATCTTAAAAAGACAATAATATATTGCCTGTAAAGTCAGTCAGAAGTTTAATTTTGGTTTGAAGAAAATTTCAAGATTATGGCCAGAATTCTATTGCTAATTTATATTTATATAAGTGAAATTGCGTAAGGTACATGATGAATTGTAGCAAATTAATGGGGTAGCAATCATGTTCCTAATCATGGGTCAGTTGTACATGTATCATTAATTACTAGCAGTGCGCTGCTGTGACCCATGTGACATGGTGTAAGTCCTAGCAGTGATCTGCTCTTGATTAATAAGTAAAGTTATTTTTGTAGGGAGTTATAGTTAGAGAGCGGCGTATGCATAAACCTACTAATAATGATTGTTGCTTGGCTGTACAACTGATTGTGTGCACAGCTGCACAATGTGCTTGCAGAAATCGTTGCTGGAAATGAGTGCCCCTTTGCTGTAACTTTTGCAACCACTTTGTGACTTTGAGTTATGCAGTCATAGCTAATGGAACAGGATTTGGGGCAATATGCTAATTGTATCCTGGTCCTGTACATGTGACCAGAAACATGACTGGCATGTCTTTAATTAACAGTAATTCAATCCTAAAAGTTCCACAATTTTACTTACATATGCATAAACTGGCAATAAGATTCTAGCCAATAAATCTATGTTTTATTTTCTACATTTTGGGTTGCTTAATTTTTGTTTCTAATGTTTATTAAAACAGTTATTTTAGATGGTACATATGGCATTTTGTTAAATACAAAAACAACAGAAACGAAGTAGTACTGAAAAACACCTGGAACATACTATTTAAGCAAATTCAACCACTTGCTACAATTTTGGAGATTTTTCTGGCTGGAATTCTATTAGTGTTCATCTAAGGTTCATGAAAAGTGCTGCAGTTAATTGTGGCAAATTAGTAAGCTACTAGGATGCATCTCTGTTGTGCTATCAGATGCCTGACCAGGAGCACAGTTGATGCCAGTTAGCTGCAATTAGCTGTGGCAAGTTACATAAACCTTACACTAACAAAAATATGATTCCAGCAATTGAGTTATAGGAAATTTTAATCAATTTCATTTATTTATACCTCGGGTTCATCTCACACGTACTTTCAGACAGTTAAGGTTCTTCTAATCTTGTACTATTCAACATTCATGGACAGCTTCTTATGCTTAACTGCATTTCCTCACCTTTCTAGTTAAGAATCAGCCTCTCTTGTTACCTTTCTCCTTATTACTACTTGAGCATGCAGTTCCATCATGCTCATAATACTGTTTTGTTTAATTCAATGTCCTCCAAATGGTTTGGATTTCAGTTTTCATAACCCCTAGTCAGCCTTTTGATTTTCTCATAGATTGGACATTCATTTCTACCTAATTCACACTGTTCTAAGAAACAGAAGGAAAATACAGAACTACTGTATCTATAATACAGAAAGAGGCACAGTGGGGAATCAAACTCCCAACCCCTGGCTCCACAGCTAGGTACCAAACCACTGAGCTATCTAGCCAAGTCGCAAGAAATTTCAGGTGGAAATCTATTATTTTAAACAGTTCTCTAAATATTGTACAGTATACATACAGTATTAGGAGCTCAATCATATTTTTCAGTGCTTACCTAATACACTGACAAAAGCATTGGCTAATAGGTATCCATGTTCATTGGAAGCATTGCATTGGTAAACAGCACTGCTGCCACTTTGGATGTCTCGAAACATAACAGTATCTCCCGTTACTTCACGACTTGGGTTGGGAGGGGAACCTTTGGGACAGATAGATACAAATGAGGGAAAAACTTTGATACTAATAATTAAAACTTATTTAGAAGAGAGACACCATGGATAAAACAGTTCATGTGGATGCAGATAGGTAAAGGACAACAAAAACAAAAACAACAACAATCATCATCATCATCATCATCATCATCATCATCATCATCATCATCATCATCATTTTCAAGTAGCTATTGTAGTCACACTGGTTCCAGTGATAGACAAAACACAATTTATCTTCCAGTAGTTCACAGACATCTTCTGTATGCTGCAATCATTCCAACTCTACTTCAGTACCTTCCTTGCTTTCGTGCTATATTATTGAAGTTATGTATTTAAAAAACAAAATACTGCCAGTTATTTTGAGACAGTAAAAGTCATGCTAAAGCCAAAAAAACAAATAAAAGAAGAAAAAAGCCCTCCCCCAAACCCCAAGGGAGTTCTGACATCTTACCTCCTCATAGCCTTGCTTTATTTAGATATACACCTGAAGACATTTAAAAATGCTTCTTTTCTGCTTAAAGTTTATCCCTATTTTTGTAATATGTGAAACAATATATATTCTTATGATTCTTAAATTTTTGTCATTGATATATACTTTAACAGGGAAATGACAAGATGTTTAGTATGGTGTGAGGTCTGTATGCATTACTACTCTAGCACTTGATGGTCCAGACAGCAGTCCTGTTAAGGGACACTGAAGTGAGATATGGGTAACACATACACATATCTTTATCTGTATGCTCGCAGATTCAAATTCTGTATTTAGAATAAATTATCCAAATGTCCATTGTTTGCACAGGTTGGAAAATCTAGGTCTTTGCGTAATTCATAATACTGTAATTGAGGTGATATGTAAAAAGAATCAGCATTGGGAAGGGGGAAAACTGGGAAGCTGTACATATGGGTGATTACTGATCAATACTACCTTCCCCAGATTAATGGAACCCATATAGAACCTCCTTTCACCTTTTAAATGATCATCGACAGCTAGAAGCTTCATTCCTCCCCCATTCTCCCAGTGAATTATGAGATTCTAATATTCTGATTATGACACTCTATATGCTACATGACAGAAGCCTAAAATCTATCCAAGCTGATTCACAAAGTAGCAAGCATCTTCAATGAATGCAGAGTATTACAGACTAAGGTATATGACTACTCTGAAATCTTTACTATTAAGACAATCTTCCCACACTCAGGGTGTGACTATGCTAAGCATATGATTCAGATTTGTAGTGCATTGCTTTGAAGCCACTTTTGGCTTTGAAAGCACTGTTGTCAACTACACATAAATGTTAAACAATCCAGAATAGCTTTGTTTTAAGTGTCCTTCAGGAAACATGTTCAGGACTGCTGCCTTTAAACAAAAGTCTCCCTGACAGAGAGCGTAAAGTGCTGGAAGGGACAGTGTATCAGGTCCAAAAATAATTCACTTTGTTTTTTCAAGTCTTTCCTGGACTGGTTTTCTTCCAACCATCAGTATTTGACTTTCCATTGCTTTCAGTTCTAACCATTTTCTAACTACTTTTATTTTGTTTTACATTTATAAAAGTAGAAATAAAAATATTGAGAAAGAACAGGATCAAGTTAATACTCTAGTACCAAATCTCTCACCCTTTCCTTCAAGAATAATGGCTGATTCATTTAATGTAGTTACCTCTATTAGAATAGGCATCCTTCAGTCTTGAGATACTATGGCAACGTGCTCTGAATAGAGGTCTTGGAACAGTGTCTAGTGCAGCTGAGAAGGCCAATCCAAGAGTGACAATCCCTTCCACACTGAAGACAAATACAACTTGTTCCCTGTCCAGCTCCCTGATTTTGCTGGTTTTGGGACTCCCTCTTTACCTCAGCCTGCTTGACAAGTGTCTCTTCAAAATGGGAGAGGCCATGAGGCACCGCCTGCCTCCAGGCTGAATGCTCAGATGTCAAGGTTTCCCATCTGTTGAGGTCCATTCCTAAGGCCTTCAGATCCTGCTTGCAGATATCCTTGTATCGCACCTGTGGTCTCCCTTTGGGGAGCTTTCCCTGCACTAATTCTCCATACACGAGACCTTTTGGAATCTGATCAGCAGCCATTCGCACAACATGCCCGAGTTACCTCTATAGTTACTTGAAAATAGCTGATATTCCTTCCCTGGCACCAGTCATGAGCTTAACAAACTCACCATACAATTTGCAAAACATTATCTTTTTGCACAACAAAATTCCTTACTTTCAATAGGTTCTCCATTCACCAGCCACTGGACTGAAGGCTTGGGGTTACCATTGGCTCGGCAAACAAGTCTTCCATTCTCACCAGGAGCCAAAATAAGGTTCTCTGGTTTATCCAACCAGAAAGGAGCAGCTTTAGAACAAAAGAGAGATACATCAAAAGGTATTATAATTATCTCAGCATAGGCTGCTCCAATTAATGTTTATTTACCCAAATGCTTCTTTGGAGAAAAAGGAAAATATTGTTAGCACATTATTAAATGGATATATATGACATAACAATGAAAATCTGATATACACTTTGGGTTACTGTGTGACATTTTAATGGTCAACCCCAATGAGAAATACATTTTATATTTTCCCCTACAGTCCTGAATGATTTTATATGTGGTACAGCAGGTAACACAAATGTTCCCTTTCTCCACTGCTACTGCCAGCCAAACTCATGGTTGGGGGACTAATGCCATAGGACGAAGCCCAGGAAAGATGGCCCTTCTCAAATCTTGAGATGGCCCTGGACCACACAGCTTACATTTTTATAGGGAATACACAACCATTTGAATTATGTCTCAGAGTTAACTAGTATCCAGAGGAACAAGAATAAAACTGATGCCGATTGAAAAAAAAAAATACAGTACTCTCAGTAATAATTACCGAGTGCCAAATGATGACATTACACCTCCAACAAAATCGATGAAGCTTTCCTTGGATAATGCAAGGACATGGTTTACACTTTCGGCAGCAGCTGAATACAAAATTGACAGATAACTCTCCAAGGAAAAGATATTTGTTTCCTTCAACTCTTCTTTTCACATTGACAGTTTTATGTTTTGTAGGTACAAATATGGTCAAATTGAACTGAGGTAATATATTTAATTACTGAACATTGCGTGAAGAATGCCGTTTATGAAACAAAAATCTGTGTAAGCAGATAAGAAGTGTTTCAGGGATAAGAAGCAGTTATGATCCTTCTTCCTGACATCTAGTTTCCTACATGCAGTGTGTGTGCGCACAATTTTTTTTATATAAAATCTCCCACCTGAGGTTCTAAGTGAACAGTTACATCAAATGATCTGCTGTTGTCAACTCACTGCTGTTCCAATAATTTCTCTTTACATCACTGCTGCATACAGAATTCCTCAAGATGCTGAACAGGAAGCTATCAAGAATGTCTGGCATGTGGGTGTCATTATTTGCACATGTATGTGATCTTAAGAATTTGTGGCCTTCACATTAAGCATAAAATGTATTCATATTCATCAGTGACTTATGCACAACAGCAGATCCAGATAGACAAGCTATGCTGACTGGAGCTTCTAGGAATTATAGTGCAAACAAGTAACATTTCTAAGTTCTCATTTAGATATATGACTATTTCTCTCCAGTTGTTACATAGCAAGGGATCCCATGCTACCTTAACAGCACATTCTAATTACACAGGCAGAACAGCCAAGAACTGGTTCTCCTCTCTACTATCCAACTCCCTTTCATTTATTTGCCAGCTGCTGCACAAAGTAATAAGAATGGTATAGTAATTAAAACGTACCCTTCACTCTCACCGAGATTGTGTGGCGGCTCATGCCCACTTTGTTGGATGCTAAGCAGAAGTATTCCCCAGAATCTTCCTCAGAAACATTGGCAATATGAAGAGCCTTGTTAAAGTTCTCCAGTTTGGTCCTGCCTGCTGGGAGATCACCTCCTTTCTTATGCCATGCAATGTCTGGTGTTGGGCTGCATGAAAGAATACCATGGGATATATGCATCTGACATAAAAACTCTTCTGACACATGGAGTACCACATAAAAAGATTCTCAAAAATATAGTTTCTTAATCTAAGGATGAAATTCTCAATTAGCATTTTCTTCATCTGCCATGGGTGCTGGAGACATGTGCCTTTATGGATGTAAGGTTATAACTCGATGGTTCAGTACATAGAATCATAAAACAATGGAGTTGGAAGGGGGTCTAACAAGGCCATTGAGTCCAACCTCCTGCTCAATGGAGAAAGTATACTTAAGTATACTGTAACTTGAATTCCTGTATTGAGTAGAATGGTTGGACTTGATGGCCTTACAACTTTATTTTTCTATGGGTTTATATTTGACAGATGTCTGTCAAGCTTTCTCTGGAATGCCTCTTGAACATATGTAAAAGTGGTCTGGCTTTAAAGTGATAGCATTTCACTTTATTGATAGAGTAGACCTCTGGTCTAGATGGGTGGGTTAGAAATCTAATAAAATAAAATAAATAATAAATTTCTTATGACACAGTTAAGTGAAATATCTTTGTTTGAGATCGCTAAGAGCCCTTGCAAAGGAGATATTACTGAAATGATTTTATGGGCCAGGTAAACCACTTGCAAAGAAACTGTTCAAGTTTTCGATATTGGTAATCACTACTTTGGAGTTAAATTGGGTGGCATAAAATTAGAGTGAGAAACTTTTGGTACTGCAGATGGTGTGGACGTCAACGTTCAGAATTTCTAGCCAACAATGCTAGCTAGTGATTCTGTTCAGCACTAGGGGACTACAGGACCTGGAGGGCCAAATTGTATATACTCTGGTCTAAACAGTGATGGTTGACCTCAATTGCGAAGCCATGTGATATTGCTCCTCAATAGTTCTTCAAATGCTCTCTTAACCTGAGAATTTACGTAATTAAAGAGTTTGAATCCAAAAGAATTGACATTATATCCCACTGAAATTCATGACGCTGAATTTCCCATTTGGGTCACACTATTTCATGTGCTAAAAGGAGTCATCTTTCTACTTATCACTCATGAAATCAGGAAGAACAAATGCCATTATTTTTGCCCCCATTAAAAACAACAACCCAAAAAAACAAAATCAGAAGCAGCAATAATGGAACCGGGAGGGTAGAAAGTGGTACGTACACTCCTGAGGCAATGCATTCCAGCAAGAGGTCTTCTCCTCTCAGCACCATCTGACTGCTTGTAGTCCCAATGGGATACATGAAACTGGGGTGCCTTTCTGTGATACCTCGGGCTGAAATCAGGACATAAGGGGGAGAAAATACACACTTGTAAATCCTTCTCCTCTAGAGGCCAGTAAAGAATGGGATGCTGAAAGTAAAAGATGACCAACGGCAGGAAACAGAATGCAAACAATTCACAAGACACAGCAAATAGGACCATCAGTCCAGTACCAAAGACTTGGGAAGAAAGTCTTTAAGGAAGTTGGAGAAAGAGGCTGAAATGATATAGGGGGTAAATGGAAGACACTTGTGGGAAATAGCATGGTGTGGAAGGATTTAATAATGATGAAAGATAACACTTTATTGACAGTGAAAACAGATTTTTTTTTTTACAACATTCAGCTTTTAGTTTACGTATTTGAACTCTGAAAGTAGAGTTAAGCATCTAAAATTTGAGATTCCCAGATTTATTAAAAATAAACATATTCTGCATTTGTGTTTCTGAAACGATGTACTCCTATCACCTGGAGATAAACATTTCTCATTTATTGCAGCTAAATTTCAATGACTTTTAAAACATTTACAGTATGTCAAAACTCAGGCCACGGTCACATCAGCAAAATGTCCCCCTGTGGTTACATGATGTTTAATTGCATTCCTCTGGTGCTTTGCGGACACATTGTATTTATTCCAGGATCTGCGTCCTGATGTGTTTTTGGGTGACTGAAACATTTCCTTCCAGTTCAATAAGTGTCTGGAGCTTCTTGTTGAGACCATTTGACCAAAGTTAACCAACACATTGACACAAATGCTGTGGAATTTTTTAAAATTTTTGAAACATTTTAAAAGGACATGCACGGTGATAACAACACATATTTCTCCACCTACGTCTTATCTGAAGACCAGCAAATGCAACTGCAAAACAAACCTGCCCTCTAGTTCCCTAATTCCTTTTTGTGGTTGTTGTTGTTCAAAAAGTTGCCTTGTGCCCTCTACAAAAGATAATTCTGTTTGGGTCCCCTAAGATCCTTGCCCCCCACCTCCAAAAATATAATTAAAATATGTCTACCAGAAGGATGATGGTTCCCCCCCCGCAATGAAAAGTTCTTTTAAAATGAATGAATGAATGAATGAATGAATGAATGAATGAATAAACAAACAAACAAACAAACAAACAAACAAACAAATAAATAAATATGTGCCACCAAAAAAGTAAAAGACTCTGGCCAAGCGAGAAATGATCCACACCTAGCATGCTTGATGAGTAAATTATTTGCTAATGGCCATGCCTTGTGTGAACGCAAATTTATTATATGAGCTCAGTGAGGGATAAGAAGGCAACATCTGGCTTGTGTGACCATGGTTTTAGATTTGAGAAGGGAATGAGACTACTTTTTTTAAATGAGCAAAAATGTAGCAAGTATGTTCAAAATGTCCATTTCTAGGTTCCACTCAGTCTAATAGTTACACAAAACAACTCTCATATCAGTGAAACTCACCAGGGACAAATTTAGTTGGTCTCAAACATATTGAACAAAAGTAATTTTTATATAATCATTTTCAGTCTACTGAACCTGCTAGTTCTCCATTTGGGATGTTTTGAAGGCCAGGGGAAAACCTCCAGATTCTGAAGGTGAGCATAAAGAACACCCACAGAACAATACTACAGATGCATACTTGGAAATAAGTCTCATTGTCTTCAGTAGTGGTCACTCTCTGTAGGTATTTTTAGGATTGTTGTCTAAAGTACTATTCCTTACTATTACTTTCTATGCTTTGATATAACTTGAGATATTTTGAAGACAATTAACTACTATGTAGGATAAACAAAACCTTCAACAGATAATAGGGCTGCCTTCTATCGGAGGGCACACAAGCTTCAAACAGGTAAAAAAGAAATTAAAACACTATGAAATAGTTCAATACTCAGACAGAAATAAGGAATTTACACTGTATTTAAAAACAATTTAAGAGATTCAGTTAACCTAATTGGCTGTGCATTTGGGACACAGCTCAATTAAACAGGCGAGAACCTCAAGTTTAACTGTATGGAAATCAAAATTATGCACCAGAGCCTCAATTAACCCACTTGGATACCAAAGTAATGAATTACTTTACATCAGGTATGACAGGTACATACCTTGGCACTAAGGCTAAATAAGTTATGCAGATTTGTTCAGAACAGATCCTTGGACCTACAGATGATTTTCTCCTTCACAGTCTAGAGCTGTTTCCCATTGCCTTCAGAGGCAGTGACAGCTCCATACACACATTTTGGCTGTTCGGATGGAATTATGCACAACACTTTAGTCAGCAGCAAAACAGTTCTATAACCCAGGATTCCATGTGCACGCTGAAGAGCACACAAAGCTTTGGACTAGAGAAACAGCTTATATTTTTTTACTTTAAAAGCAAAAGCAAAGCAAAGCGTGCTGCTTATATACCGCTCCATAGGGCTTCTTGATACACACTTCAGAACAATAAATGTTGAAACAATTCATAAAATACAGAACCAATTAATGAGACTAATAATTTAACAGGAAATATTGAAAATACAAGATTAACAAAATAATGAAGACATCTTTTTAAATATTAGTTTAAATATTTATATACCCGTATTTTTCGCTCCCTAAGATGCACCTTTCCATAAGACGCACCAATTTTTAAAGAGAAGAAAACAGGAAAATATAATCTGTTTTCTTCGCTCCATAAGACGCACAGACTTTCCTCCTCCCTGTTTTGTAGGAAAAAAGTGTGTCTTATGGTGCGAAAAATACACTATTTTAAAGCTACACAAGGATTATATTATTAATTGGATATCCAGGTAATTTAGACTATAAATCAAAGGGGTGCATAACTGGTGCCACAAATGGTTGTTGTGGGTTCTTCAGGCTCTTTGGCCGTGTTCTGAAGGTTGTTCTTCCTAATGTTTTTGCCAGTCTCTGTGACCGGCATCTTCAGAGGACAGCAATCTGTGCTCACAATAGAGAACCAATTAATGCCTATGTACTGTAGGCTTTGTACTTAAGAGGTCCTTGAGTGGTAAACAGATGTGCCACTTACCAATCTGCATCTGAAACTGAAGGAATTTTCATGAATAGGCTTTGAGACACCTCACATGACTGACTGCTGTCTAAAGTTGTGCTTAAATTACTTGGCATGAGGTCTGAACTATTTTAATCATATAAATCAGGATAATTTACATAACTATAGCTTTAACTTGAACAGTAGCTGTTCACCACCAATACATGGGATATGTAGTATACCTGGATGCTTTGTTATAACGTAAGAAGAAATATTTCTAAACAACAAGCTAGCCATTGATGTAAGATTTTCAGCTCATATGTATAATCATGAAGGAAAGAAGGAACAGAGCGCATGAGTTCAGGAGGGTTCTACAAATCATGAAATGTATCTGCCATAAATTGCAGTCCATCTCTGGAGACTTTAGCTCAACAGTGGGTAACTGTGGTGGATCTGAAGGTCAATCCTGTTGTCCAAATACCCATCCCCAGCCACTAACATTCAGTGGCTAATTTCCCAACAGAACGTTGGCAGAACTAGAAGGAAAAGAACATTTACTTGCTAAAATTGGGATCCTGTTTGCAGCCAAATTTTGGTGTAAGACATTAAAATCAGCAAAATGTTTGCTTTAAATCTAGCCACATCTCCCTGCTTTCTACTGAAATTCAGTTTGTTTTTATGGCAGTTCTGGGTGTTGCAAAAATAGACTTTGGAGTCATATGTAGCTCATCGATTGCATGATTCTCACCACTGCTTTAGCTGTTTAGAACATTTATAATCTGCTTAGAGCATTTTGCCTTTGATGTACATACAAGATACATCCAGATTCTACAGATGAATAGAAGCTGACAGTTCACAGTTAATTTGATGGAGATAATTAAAGCACTATATTAGTATATGAGTTGATAAAGATGACATTAGCACCCATGAAACAAGATTTTAATGCAAGAAAGCAACTCAAAAACCCACTGCACCAGCTGAGGAGTGGTGCCACACAAGAGAAACTCTGGGCATTTAATTAAAAATTAATTCAGTAATATGATCACATTGTAATCTGCATGAATGAACAATGTCATGGGAGTGCTAACTATGAAGCAGCTATTCCATGTGGCTTAACATGGTCCATCACTTTCAATAGACATTACCACAGACAATGATCTCACAAAATGAAAAAATAAAATAAAAGGACAAACATTTAGGTCAAGCTGAACAAGAAATAAATATAGATACTGTAATGTAATATAGAGGTTAACTGAGAAGAAAAGTGCAATAATCCCTCATAGATGTAAAGGAATCTGAAAGGAAACTATGTTAATGACACAAAGAAAACACATTGATGAACATATGAGACAGGACAGGCTGAAAGCTCTCTGTGATAAGTACTGTCAAGATGGAGCCAACATATAGTGACCCTAATAGGGCTTATAAGGTAAGTGAGATATTTCTGTGGCTTCACCAGTTTCACATTCTCCTCTATGAGTTGTTGTGGCCAAGTGAAGATTTCAATCCAGATCTCCTGAGTCCCAGTCCATCACTCTATCCATTACACCACTGGTTCTTAACCTTGGGTTACTCAGGAGTTTTGGACTGCAACTCCCAGAAGCCTTCACCACCAGCTGTCCTGACGGGGGTTTCTGGGAGCTGCAGTTCAAAAACATCCGAGTAACAAAGGTTAAGAACTACTGCATTACACCACACTGGGTAACGTAATGGGTCAAAGCAACAGCAAGAGGGGAAAAAAATAAAGATGAAAAGAATTTGCAGGATTTTTTTTTTTAGCTTGACAGTGCTATGTTAATAAAAATGTTAATTAGGGTAAGCCTGTGACCGTAACCAGGAGCTATTCTAAGTTAAGATTATCTGTCTATGCTGCAGCTGGGTAATCTGTGGATCAGTTTAGAATAAATATTTCCATCACAAAAGTGTAAAATGTATTTTGAAGAACTAGTTCAACAAATGGTGTGGCTTGTTTGTTGTCATCGATCCAGAAGTAGAAAGCAAACCTGAGTTAAGAAAAAGCTAAGCATTCTCAAAACTCCATTTACTT